TGGCGCACTGAGAAGCGAGGCATAGAGCAAAAAATGCTTTGCCTCATACTTGGCAGAATGGTGAGGTCCACTCCTACTGCCATACACCGAGCAAGTGTAGATCAACTTCTCTTCAAATTCAGCCACAGACTGAATCACCTTGGCCGGACCTGTCACAAGAACCCCATCACGCCTTTTCCAGTACACAGCAAGGCTAGCATTATCAAAACTGGGGGGCAACCCTTCAATCATGTGAACTTGCAGATAGAAACTGCAATTGAACCTCTTATTTCGGATGTGGGAAAGGGCCCTTAGAGGTCTCCAATTCCAAATGGACTTCTTATCCTTCTGAACACTATCATCATCATTATTATTACCACTGGCTTTAGACTTAGATTTGGGATCGGGCATCTGAGATTTCCCAGTGAACTTAGATCGAGAATTTCCACTAGGTATTGAACTCCTTGAAGACCCTCTATCCAAGTACAAAGCTTTGTTTATGGTTTCAACATCCTTTAACAACTTCTTCGGGGTACTAGAACCCACACCACTCTTCTTCCCAGCCTCCATTCTCGACAACATCATCTTGTACCCAACAAAAAAAAAATTGAAAAAGTGAATTCAAATGAAACAGAACCCGACCCAGAATCTTTCATAGAATAATATAAACTAAACACAGGAAATTATTAAACTACATAGCAAAATTTAATAATAGAATACAAAAGGTATGAATATATTGAGTACCGGGCAGTGTTGGAGATGAAGCTCAAGCAAGCGGACAAAAAATTAGGTCAGCAAATCCAATCCATGGACACCTACCCTCCTTCTCAAATTCAAAACTGAAACTCTGTAACCCAAAAAGAATCCATTTTTTCCGTCATAAGTCAAAAAGAGAGAAACCCAAAAGAGATAGAAGAAGAAGAAGGAGGCGGAAACGAAAACTTACGAAAAGTATAGAAATTTTTAGCAGAGCTTGTTATCTTCTCTTCTCCAATCTCTTCTTCTTGTCTCTTTCTCTCTCTAGGAATTGCCGCTACCTCTTTCAAACCAAAGAATTGAAGTTGAAATTGAACAAACAAATATAATTTTAATATATATTATATATTATTTTATTCTTTTTTTATGCGCTATTATTTTTTTCATGCGCGTATCTACCCAAATCCCAATTATTAGTACTATTTTATTAGTTTTATTATTTTTTGTTCCGTGAAAACAATTTATTTTTCATATTCATTTCAATTGTGTCCTTTGGTAATTACAATGGTAATAATTGCATAATTGATGATATTTTCTTTTTCTCTCTCTTTTTCATGGTTATTTTCAGTCAACTTTTTTATTTGATTCATTTCTTTAAAACAAAAACTTAATTATATAAATTGAGAATATTAAATATTTATAATGAGTATATATTAGTATTTTAAATCCTTTCATCATCTTATATTTTTTTTTATTAACGAAATTTCACTTTTATATTTCGTATTTATTTATTATTTTTTTCAATTTTTTTTTAAAAACACATGTTCTTATATAAAATATAATTCATAATTTTAATACATCTACCGTATTAATCTACTCTACTGATATATATATATATATATATATATATATATATATATATATATATATATATATAAATTGATACACAATTTTTATATTATTCAAATATTTTACATGAAAACTTGTTTTTACAGTAAAATTGTTAAAGTGGATGTGTTAACACAATTTTGTAAGTGATGCAATTAACTTAACATATTAATAGTTTAAATATATTTATTTATTAATATGTATATTTAAGATAATTTTTTAAAACAATATATTTTATATAAACAACTAAGTGTGTATAAGTAATAACACATCATTTATCTTCACTTGTAAATTTTATTATAATCAACATTACTTATTTTAAACTTTTATAAGTAATTGGATAATTTAATTCGTAAATTTAACATTGAATTAAAAAATCTTTAATGGAATAACATTTGTATAGAAAACGTTAAATTATTGATCCAAATCATGTGAATACGTAATATCACATTAGTAAATAATTTTGTTGGTAAAAAAATCATATGTATTGTAATTATGTTAAAATTAAGTATAAATAAGAATGTTTAAATTAATAATTTAATTTACGTTGATAATGTTATATCAATAAAGAAAAATAATAAGTAATTTTAAGATAAATTAGGAAGAATAAACTAAAATGTACCAAAAACACAAAAAAGTATTATATTTAACTGAAACCATGATTAAAGAGAATGATAGTTTTTTCCAATTATTATAAATGATTTTTTTTACAATTAAATCAAAACTCTCCGCATAAATGAATATATATATATATATATATATATATATATATATATAATATTGTTTTTTTTAATATGATAGCTTAATATTTTATTTATCAGTAATGTTTTGTTTTCTTCTATAATGTACATATTCTTTTCATTTTTTTTAAATGTAATAAGTTAATTTTTTTAAAAATATCATTTATCTAATTATACTTTTTATGTTATTTATCTCTCTTAACATATTCTCAATTAATCATTCTCGTTTATTTTCCTTTCTCATCTTAAATATATTTTCTTAAATTATAAATAAAACAGTATTTTATAAAAGCTAGTTAATAATAATTCTAGTTGGAATAAATAATCAATTAGTTTAAATGTAATATTATTTTCTATTTTTTAGTATCTCTAATAATATAAATGCCTATTTAATTTTTCAACCAGTTGGAGGCAAAACTTTAATAATTTGACACATGAAACAAAAATAAAAGTACATGAAAAAAACTATTCAAAATACAGAGAATATCTTAAAGTATAAGGTTTCAATGTGCAAATATACTTAACTTTGCCTCTACACTACATTTCTGAGTATCAATATACATACACAATCATAAGTTAACTGTATAAATTCTTTAATTTATGAATATTTTCTTATTTTTCTCCTTTATATATTTTTTATTTTAAAGGTTTATAAAAATAATAATTCAAATATATTTATAATCATATTATAATACAAAATATTTATCATTTTTACTTTTACAATTTGTACCAAAATAAATCTGATTTTAAGTATCATAAATGAGTGGAATCTAATTTTAAATAATTTTCACGCACATTCATTCAATTTAATAATTTATCTCTTGTCTCCCATATTTTTTTATCATATTTTTTATTATGTGTTAGTGTTCGCTAGAACCCTCCATCATTTTAAATTTTATATACATAAAATATTATTTTATTTTTTACTTGTTTGGTATAATTTACTTTTTTATTCATAAAAATATGCATTTTAAAAAATAACAAAAATGATAAATTATACTTAACGGAACAAATTTATTAAAAGATGCGTTTTGTAAAAATATTGTCCTCTACAGTTTTTATAAACTTTAATATCCTTATGTTATTGTTATTTTATTTATATATAACATAATTTTGATTTATGAAAGAAATCATTTCAATTTTATTTTCTATAAATATTTATAGAAATAGTTTACCTATAAACATCTTACCTTAATTAGCATTTTGGAAAGAAAAAAAATCAAATTTTGGAATGGAGAAACCCAGAACATTAGTTAAACAATATTTATATATATATATATATATATATATATATATATATATATATATATATATATATATATATATAGTCTACCGTATATATTTGATTTTTTATAAATATATAGTCTACCGTATATTCATTAAACAATATTTTATAATTTTGTTATTTATATTTTCAAGCGTTTGAATTAATATATATATATATATATATATATATATATATATAGTTTCGCAAATTTAATATAAAATTATTTTTAAGTTATTAAATTTAAAATTAAATTTTTATTAACAATTATTTTAGTTTTTCTATTTTTTAGTATTTAAATTTTAGACTAAAATTTAAGATATTTTTAAAATGACTTTAAATTTTTCAAATAATCTACTGACAACTTATTTTATTAATGAAATAATAATTTTTAATTAATTTATTTTTAATTTAATCTCTTCATAATTATAATGTTAATAAATAAATTGTAGATTAAGTGTAAATTAAAGCATGGTTGTTTATATATAAAAATTATAAAATTTAACACTCAGTTGCACCGTCAACTTAAATAAGAAGTTTTAAAATCGAGTAAGTAAAGTAAATATCTTTTTATTAGTATATAAGGTGTTATTATATATTGAAACTAAAATTTAATTTTAATAACTTACAACAACTTTAATATTAAATAATATATTAATTTTAATATGTAAATGAGAAACTAATGTTTTTCCATTCGACACTTCTCGTAACATCCACGAAGCTGTAAAGCGCATGTTACGAGACACGTGGCACCAACCAATATATTTTTTTAAGGTAAATTAATAAATTTCTATTTATTAAAGATCTAAAACTTAAATTTACTAGAACGAGTAACAATATTATGTTTAATACACCTTCTTATTATTTTAAATATTGTTTTACTTTTCAATTAGTATCTTAAAAACACTTTTTAAGAATACCTTTGTTAGTCACTTAATGTTAAACTTACGTGTAGTTGGGTTAACTTTAGATTTTGTTTTCTTACCTAAATTAGATTAGTTGTATTAAAATTTTCTCAATTAATTTCATCAGATTCAAACTTCATCTTACTAGTTTTGTTTTTCATTTTTTTAAATACTTTTATGAAAATAATATTTAAAGTATAACAAGTTGTTAAATTTTACACTTTTTTTTTGTTACAAATTATGTTATAAAATTATTAGTATTCTTCTACTCTATCCTAATAATAACTTATATCTATTTACATATGAATAACTTGTTAATCATTTCTATTACTAATTGGAATATTAGCGAATATGCTATCTTTGCTTTTAGATATTTTTCTTTTTATTTGAATAAAAATAGAAAGGTATATATGTATGTATATATAGTTGGATGGGAGAAGAAAGAGGCCATACTTGAGTCCCAGAAATTTCTGTTTCTGCACACACCACCAACTTTCTTTGTCTGAATCAATTCAAACTCGCGTGACTATGTCTGATAACGAACCCCTTTCATCAGACAACGCAGACAGCGAACCCTCTACAAAGACCAGGCGTAGGTTCAGGGATAGGTCCAAGGTATGTTGTTACCTTCAATGCATACGTTTTTTTTTTTTTTTTATAACATATAAAACTTAGATGCATATTTTTTGTTGGTATTGTTGTTGAATTTGATTTTGTAGTGGAACTTCTATTGTAATTGAAGAGTGGTATACATAAACTGTATTTAATTGGCATGACAAGTTTTGTCTTTTTCGTTTTTTCAATTTGATTTCCATGCATGGCTGCATCTGTTTTTTAATTTTATGATATGGGTTTGTTTTGTTTTGGCTGAAAATTAAGGAGGTGTTGTCCAAACAAGCCGTTAAGATAGTCAAACAAGCTGAAGAGCATGAAAGGTTCATCAACAAGGTGGGTTTGTTTTGCTTAATTTCTGATTCATGTTTTTTGCTATGCATTACTTTTTCATCATCTAAGGCCATTTGGGTATGTTAATATTAAACAAGTTTTGATTTTGATATGTTTATTTGTTTGTGTGAATGTTCAGGTGACTTATCTTTTGGGGGTTCTTGGCTTTGGTGGGTTTTGCTTCCTCTTTGGGGCAAGTAAGTTGATTCTGATTGAAATAGTGTAGTGGTTTTTCTTTCTCTTTTTTCTCACTTGAGCAGAGTCAATGCCTTCTTTATTGGTTTTGATTTTTTATTACCCCTTTTTTTAGGGCCACAAGCTGTTCCAGTGGTATATTGTTTGTTTTATGTCGTGTTTGTTCCTCTGCGTTGGATATATTACAGGGTCAAGAAATGGCATTACTATCTCCTGGTAAATCATGATATCTCATACTCTTTCTACAACTATGAATCCAATGAAATGCCAACTACACATTTTCTGAACATACTCTTTTAAATATACTCTTTATTTGACTAAAATGTAATAGAAATCATAAATTTGTGTGAATCTCATATTACTTATTTACTAAGCTTCACTCATGATTTTGTAATTTTTAACAAATTTTAACTAATAATAAAAAGTGTTTTAGTAAGTGTGTTAGAGAGTGCTACACCCTTTTTCATTATCTTTACTGCTTAAAATTATTGGAACATTGTCTTAATGTTCTCATTATGATAAGGATACAGTTATTAATTTCATGTGTTTCTGCAGTAGAAACCTATGTATGAAAACTAGGTAGTTAAATGATTGTTCATGTGTTTTCAGGATTTTTGCTATTATGCCAATACAATCTTCTTGATTGACCTCCTTTTTTATCCAAGGAATGAAAAGCTTTTCATGGTTTGCTTTTCATTTGCTGAGGTATGCATGTTATTCTTGATAATTTGATATCTTGGTTGAAGAATGGTTCATTTGTCAACTTTATGACTTAATCAATAACTGTTGCAGGGGCCCTTGGCGTGGGCTTTGATTATTTGGCGCTGTAGCTTGGTTTTCAGTTCTGCTGACAAAATTGTCAGTGTTCTTATCCATCTTTTACCTGGTATGTTATGACTTCACTTTTCATTACTCCTCTCTTTTTTAAGCAAGATAATAATGTTTTGGATACTATGTGTGTGTGTGAAAATTTGTTATTTTAATACTTGTTTATCTATGGAACAACTTGAACTGCTACATAGACTTCACAATATTAGAGATGCTACAGTTGGAATGGACTTGTGATAGACTTGTCAACTTTATGTTTCTTACTCTGCATTCATTTTGGCTTTTATTATGGTTTTAATGAAATAGTTTTGTTTTCCTTTCAGGATTGGTTTTCTTTTCCATTCGATGGTGGAATCCTGAAACCTTTGAAGCCATGCGACCAGAGGGAACTGCTGCAAGAGCTACATGGCCTTATATTGAAGATAAATCCTTTCTCTGGATGTGGTTGTTTCTGGTTCCCTTAGCAGTTTACATTCTGTGGCAGGTTCTATACTTCCTCATTGTCAACGTCTTGCGCAGACAACGGTTGTTAAGAGATCCTGAAGTCATGACTTCCTACAGGTAATTAAAGAACATCCCTACACTTTTTTTCACTGCACTTTGGAGGGGGGTGTTCTTGAGTGGGGGTCGGAAATTCTCTGAAGTTTCTCATTTTATTGTCTTAACAACTGTTTCACAGGGAACTCTCCAAAAAAGCCAAGAAAGCAAACAATGTGTGGTGGCGCTTAAGTGGTGTACTAGGGGATCAAAATCGCTTGTTTATGTACATTGTTCTTCAAGCCATATTTACTGTGGCAACCACAGCACTAACTGTTCCCATATTCTTGTCCTATGAATTGTCTGTGGTTTTCCAAATACTGAAGATTTCTGCATCAGTGTGGAATGGAGGAAGCTTCCTAATAGATGTAATGCCTAGGCAGGTAATTCTCAAAGAGAAAAAGAAATCAGAGATACCACCTGTTCCAATTTAAAAAATTCATCAGTGATAGATGATGTTGGAAAATTGTAGGTAGTTCAACCATTCTTCATGATATGAATGAATTATCCATTTAGTCATGCCATATTAGTCTTGCTGTATATTACAAGAAAACCTCAGTGGTATCTACGGTTCTCAAAATGTAGAACAAGAGGAAAATGTTCAAATGGGCACTTTGTAGAACAGTCTTTAAAGGTATAATGTCATTGTATAGTTTCTCTTCATCTCTAATTTCTGTGATCCTTACGAGACTAACGAATTTTAGCACTCATGTTCTTACTGCTTCTTGTAATGTCCCCACCGCATTCCAAAGTTGCTTAATAGGACAATCAAATAATCAAATCCATCATGAAGATCTCATCAAGGTGGGAGAGATAAAAAGCGTTTGATTCTTGAGGGAAAATTTCATAATTTAAGGCATGATTTCCTCTTGAATTTTGTTATCCTCCTTAGCTTAGTGTATTTGAAGATATAGTTAAAACTGGAATAAATAAATAAATGAGTGAATGTAACTCAAATGAAATATTTTTTTCTTTATGTTTTTCTGGAGAAATCCTTCATAGAATAACAGGTGGAAAGGAATTTATGGAAAAAATAAATATATATAAACAGATAAAATAAAAGGTTTTTCAGAAAGAATAAGCAGTTGCTTCATGCTTGAGAGAATCTTCCATATAGAGAAGATGAAGTAAAAGCTCTGCATCATGAATGATATGATATAAAATGCATCCAAAAGTTCATGTTACCTCAACTATTGGAGCCATTGTTGAAAACACTTGTTCTTTCCACTTCAAATGATCTTCAGTGAAGAAGGCATTTATATATGTAACTCATGCAGAAACAAGTTTTCACCCAGAAAATCCCGAATCTTGTGACATGCACTTGATCAAGTAGTCCTGATTCTCCTATATACCCAAAAATCAGGTTTAAAGAAGAATGAACAAGAAGTAAAAAGGATCTCTCGTGTTCAAAATTTCAGGTGCATGCATCTAACTAAAACATAGAAGGTAAACTTTATACTAATTAAACAAACCCTTTTACTACACCAAAATTATCATCAATGTGTATATTCATCAAAATAAACGATTCCTTCTTAATTACTGATTCAAGTTTTGCTCCCACATTTTGTAGATAAGAGAACATGGCAAATAGGCTTTAAGGAATTTTGTTGGCATAACCATAGAGGAGGATATGTTACCAACATAACATATATTAATTTCTTGTAAAAAAAACATATACATTAACTTGGTAATTTTTTTTTCTTTTTTAGTATTGTGTGAAATATTAAATTACAATTTACTCAGACAAAATATTAGATGACAAATTATCTTCTTGTAATAATTTAATAAAAATTGGTAAAAAAAAAAAATTACGCAATTATAATTAATGAACCAATTCATATAATTGGGACCCTAAAAACTCAAAAATTCAATGAAATTTTCTTTTTGGGGTCTTCGGTTGTGGATAGATCGACTTTGTCTATGAACCGCTTTTATGGACACTTCACTTCAAACCTGCGAAGTTGTTCCTTTTTTTTTTAAATAATCTACAAGCTTTAAAAAACAATTACACATGGGTTGTCCATTAACAAAAGTATATGCTTTGGTCAATTTAAATATCTTTATTTGAATAAATGGGTTCAATTTTTTAGCCATAAAAGTCAGTGGCTTGGGTTTTGTTTGCATGGATTAGGACACGAATGGCTCGAATTTGGTTGCCCAAGCAAAAGAACGAAAGGAAAGATTCTTAACGGAATTGAAAGTGGTTCTCTTTAGCCCTGAAAATTGACACTTTGTTTCTGTGATCCTCAACTCTTTATGCACATCACGAGAGAAAAAGTCAGCAACCAAAATGTTCCAAAATCACAAAAGTTTTTCTGGTCTCAACTCTTTCCAAAACAGCTTGAACGATCATTTTTTTTCTGTTCATTTTATCCTCGATAAATCATTCATTAAATAACAACACATGGGTATTTGAAACAACATCTAAATTGGATTCAAAATCACATTTACTACTAGCCATCAGAGAAATTGGTAGTGCTATAAATCATAATAGTAGTACTTACTAGAGGCTCCAATGGGACATAAAAAACAGAATTAGAGCCCTAGTTAACATGCTATACAAATATGTTAAACCAATATAGCAACTTAACAAAATGCCATGAATCACTCAAAGTATGTGAGGGAAACAAAATAAACCCAGCAAACTCAAACCCAGACCCAAGATGCTGAACCATTTCATTAGCAGGCTCTAATAGCTAAACCAAAAAAATACCATAATTAGAACCATTGTTTTTGTTGTTTTTCTCACTCACTCTTTACAAGCTACGAGGCAATGAGGCATTGCTCTTCTCTTTCAACGAGTTAAGTTTTTCGAGCTTCCACTCTCCCCTAAGCCGAGCGATGAAAGATGCAGCCTTAACGTTCACATCTGGACTGGGACAGAAAACACCGTTACCATCCGTAGCGCTGTTCTTGACGCCGTCATTAACGCCGTCGTTCAGTGTAGTTGAAAAATTGATAATGTCGTCGCGTTCTGGAGAGCTACACCGGGAGCTCTGGTTGCTACGTATCCTAACGAAATCTCCGCGGACCACGAACTTCATCGCCTTTATCTTGAACGGCGGAGGTGGCGGCGGAACCGGAATCAGCGGCGACTGACTCCCGGTGTTGATTGTCTCGTGAATCTCTTCGTTGACATGGACGGTTCTGCTCGGGAGGGGTGGTCGGCCGTTGTTTCGCCGGCGAGGAGCCTCCGGAGGAGGAGATGGCGGAGGAGGGATCTGGCTTTTGCGCTTTGACCACCGCTTCGACGGCGGAGGAGGCGGCGGTGGAGGTGGCGGCGACACCGAGTGGATTTTCTTGCTCTTGCCTAGTCCTTTTCGTAATAGACTGTGAAGCATTGAAGGTAGTGGCGGAGGAGGGGGTGGGGGTGGCACTGTCGCGCTGGTCGTCATTTCGTCAGCGTTATCTTCGTCACTTTGATTGCGGTTATATTTTGTACTTTGTTTCTTCTTTTTCTTTCTCTGGTTGGAGAGGACTGAAGCCCAAACCATCGCTATCTCTCTCTTCACGTTGCTCTTCTTTCGGTCGCTCTTCCGCTCCGATCGCTCCTTCGCAGAAGGCGGAGGCGGCGTCAGAGGAGTCGGAGGCGGAGAACGGATCGTCGTGAACTCGCGCTCTTCGAGCTCGACGGTTATCTCACTGTCTCTCTCTGTTTTCCTATGCGACCGTCGCGTATTGCGACGAGCCGATTCCTGGAGAGGAGGTGGCGGTGGTGGTGGAGGAGGTGGCGTAATTGACTTCACCGGCGGCGATGAAGGATGAATTTCGAAGGTATCAACCAGAATTTCCTTCACTCGATCTTGATGCTCTTCTTGTCGCTCTTCTTGTCGTTGATGTTGATGTTGTGGTTGAGGTTGTGATGACAGTGGTGATTCCGGCCATCGTTTACGGTGGTCGACGGCGGGGAAATAGTCCCTAGCAGGCGAGCGGAACTGCTTGTCGATTTCAAAATCATCGAAGAAGCGGAACTTGTACCGGTCATCGCCGGTTTCCAACTGACGCAGATCTGGATAAGAGCTGCTGTTTCTTCTCATTCTCAACCGGGTAGCACCGGTTTCCGGTGACTGAAACCGGTTGTGAGGGGTATCATTACCGTACACCTTTCTCTCCTCGGGGAACCCAAGCCACTGCGACTGTCCTTGTGAAGGCACTTGACGAAACGCAGTGTTTCGATCCGGAACGGCGTCGTCGTGATTATTATTTTGGGACTGTTCGTCGTCGTTTCGCCTGGCAAAGACGCCGCACAGGATTGCGAAAACAACGAGGAGGATGTTGACAGAGTCCCAGCTGGTCTTGATGGAGGCTGGGCGTACGATACGCGTGGCGGCGGAGAAGAGCGGCGGCAGGGCGAGGAAGAGGATCGTTATAATTACGATGGGAAAGAGAATGATGATTAGTGGAGGGCTTAGTAAGGGTGGTGATGACTGCCAGGAGCGAGGGTGGGGCATGGTGGTTGGTGGGTGGTGGTGGTGGTGGTGGTGATGATGAGAGTGGAAGAAACAAGTGTTCCTTTGTTTTGGGATATTTGACAGGTACCAGGCAACGTCAAATGAAATTCTTATAGTGGACAGATAATATACTTGGAGTAACAGGTACTTCCTAAACTCTCCATTTTTTTATTTTTTCTTAAAATAATTTCAGACACTGCATGGTTTATATAGTCATTTTATGTTTAGATTTTATTATAATTTCAAATGATTAATTTTATAATAATAATTATTATAATAATGTAATTTCTAAACTTTTCCTTCTTCTAGAGGAGCCAACCTTTCTTTACTTATAGAAGGAGGAACTGATCCATCTTTAATCTTTTAAATTTTTTTTTAATTTATTACCAAGTTATTTCTTGACAGTATTTATGGGCATTTTTAGCCTTTTTTTTATGTTTAATGACCAAATTAACTCCTTGAAAAAGTGATTTTTGTTAATTATTATTTTATTTTTGTTATGCTTACCACTTTAATTTTCCTTAAAGACTTGTCTAGTGACATTTTGGATTTTTGAAATATTGATTTCGTGATAGATTAAATTATTGACTAGTAAATTATCTGTTCATCAATTTATAAATTTGTACATTAAAAATATTTTTTGGAAAATTATAATGTCAATTATTGTAATTATTTTTTATAAATAATAAATAAAAATAAATAAAAGTACAAATTCATAATGACTTGCATAATTTTAAAATTTATGTTTATTTGAATAAAAATATTGATTATAAAAAAATTATATTGTTAATATTTAAATATTAATATATATATATATATATATATTAATATGCTATTTTTAATTTCTTTAAAATTTATTATAACTTAATATTTAAAATGTGAATATTTTGCATGTAATATGATATTATTAATTTTGATAAATAAAAATTGAATTGTTTGTATTGTTTATATTTTATTATGAAATAAGATCACGATGAGAACGAGGAAAGAAATAATATATTATATTGTATCAAAATATCATGTTTACAGATAAAAAAGTAACTAAACATTAAAAGGATTACAAATATTTAAATTATATATAAATAATGATAATAATAATAATAATAGCTAAAAAGATTTAAAAATAAAAACTATTTCTTTTGAATGTGATTAAAAATTTTATATTGTTAAAATCTTACAAACAATTCAATAAGAAAAACATCTAATGAAAATAAAAAAAAATATACATTTTTTTTAATATTCGATTAAAATAGGTTCAATTATTCCCTTTTTACCATAAGTGAGATGACAATGTTCGTAATTATTAAAAAGTTCTTCTTGGCAAATATTTTGTAAATAATTTTTATAATTTTTTACATTATCATAGTTTTTTAATCTTTGTATCGTATTTTTTAAGATCATGTGTAAAAATAATTGTGGAAGAATATAATTAAATTTATTTTTTTAATATATTTTATTTCAACTAAGTAATGTATGTATTACTATTTTTATATGATTATTAATATTTTTTTCTGATATAGTGTATGTCATATTGATTATATAGGATAAGATTTATACATGATTTGATGATGTTGATATGATTTGTTTATATTGTATGATTATGGTTTTTGAGTTTTTAAATCAAATGCATTTAACCCCAGAAATATTCAGGAAAAATAAATAAAATGTGAAGTGAAATTAAAAATAAAAAAATATGATCTTATCATATCATATTCAAATATTTGTATAATATACATAATTTAATGATAATTATTAAAAAGAAACTAAAAAATAAAAATATTAATGCTTAACTTAATTTAAGAAATAATACAAATACAGATTATAATCATGTTTAACGCATAAAATATAATATATAGTTGGAGTTTAATGGTTGATTATTCATATATTCTTTATCTTTTTTATTTAAAATATTGATTATTATTATTAAAAATTTGTTGATACTCTTACTTAAAAGATAAGGTACATAAGAGTGTAAGAGAAGACAATTTTAATTATTCATATGATAAAAATGGATAAAAAAAAGTATAATAAAAAGAGAATAAAATTAGATACTATCATGTTTTCATTGTATTAATGAAAATCAATGAAAAAAATATATGCTAGAATGAAAAATATATAATTGAAATATACATACACAAAAAAACACGTTAGAAAAAAATGAGTTTGATTTTTTATTAACAAATTTAAATGTAAGACAAATAAAAGGAAAATAAAAGTGTCAAAATGTTGAAGTGGAAAATCATTAGTTCATATAATCTCACAATAAATTAATAAAATAATTACAGGTAAAGACAAATATGGTGTTGATTTATAAAAAGGAAATTATTTTTGGATGGATAGATTTTAAGAAGACTAATATGGTGTTGATATAAATCTTCAATTAATCATTAAAAAGTTTGGAGCAAATATGAAGATTCGTGTAATTCTGAAAAATCAAATAAATATTTTTTAAAGTGAATTGATAATTAAAAGAAATAGTTTTCATTAATAATATATTTTAAAAGAACAATTCCTTAATGTCTAATATTTATTAAATATAAAATTATTTGTCTTAAGATTAAAAACCTTACATATGTTAAATAATTTTTACTATCACTTTACATTTTTTTTTTTTGAATACTAAACATGAGTCAAATAAATTTTTAAACTTTTTCCTCTGAAAATACACAATTTCATCAAATAACATTTTCGAAGAAGTTTAGAGAATAAATAGTGATACTTTAAACACAAAGGCATTTTATTTTGATGGGCTAATGAAGCCGGAAAAAAAAAACACAAGGGGCATATAGTTGTATTATATTTTTAGAATGATAAAAATAAATGTTAGAGACTTATTTAATTTAGTTTATTTTTTAATTTAGATATTAATTTAAAATAAATTACTTGTGAAAAAGAAAGTTAGAAATAATTTTAGTTTAAAAACTATTTTGGAGAATATAAGATAATATTCACAGACCATAAAAAATATTACACTAAAAATTGAATATATGATGAAAGTGAATAATGTAATGTAATTATTAATGAAAATATTAATCGTTTGATAAAAATAAAAAAATAAAAACATATGTTATTAATTAAAAAAAATATTGTAAGAATATCTTCACAAATTTTTTTTTCATTTTTAAAAAATAATAATCTAATATTTCAACATTGCCGATTTTGGGATCATACATAAATATTAATTAAATACATAATTAAAATTATTATATGTATATATTTATGCAACTTGAGATTTCTTGAAGAGTAAGTATATATGGTGGTGCTTAAGTGTTAAGTGTTGAACTCAAATTTCTTTGTAGGGTTATGCTTGTCATAACAAGATAAGATGTTATGTCACAACAAATTGAAATATATATTAAACTAATATGCAAGTTCTTTATTAAATTTTTTTTTTTTTTGGAATTTTAGAAATATTACTTTCGATAAATAAAATATAATGTTTAATTTGTTATAATTTTTAATAATCTCATCGAATACTTCTAACATTATATCAACATATATTTACAAATATTTTAAAAAATTTCTGATTCATTGGATTATACAAAGCCCAACTTATATACAATTTTAAAAAAATAATTGCACATTCTCTTTAGAGTGAATACTTATCATCTTAACATAATTACCGATGGACTTAAAATTATGAAAAATATATATAGACAACCCATATTTTCAAATATATTATTATAATAATAAATCTTAAGTTTATTATGTGTATTATTATTATGTTATTGAATTAGTATTATAGAATACAAATTTACAAAATATAAATTATTAAGATATCGTTATTTTTAAAATTATAATATTTTTTATATTGAAATTTGTTGTTATAATATTGAAAATAGTTTTTTTTTCTGTTAATTGGAGAGTTAAATTTCAGTGTATATTTTCAAATTTTACATAGGAAATTAATGATAATTTAAAAATAAATTTTTCCTTAATGTATTGAAATGTTTTTAAAAAATAAAATAATGATAGATTATAATTTTAAAATAAATATGATTTTAAATATAATAATTAACCCTAATAATATTATAATATATAAGATAAATATTTTTTTATTTATCAAATTATCTTTAAGATAAAATAATGATTAATTATAACTTTAAAGTAAATAATATTTTATACATACCAAGTTGATAACATACCTCCTCAAAATTTAAAGAATAATACTATAACAAAAGAAAAGATATGATGTCGTAAACAATAATATATAGTTTAAATAAAATAAAGTTATTTTTAAACTTAAAATAATTTTTTTTACTCCAAGGTAATAAAATTTCGGCCATAAAAATTATTGACATGTTTTCTGTTTGTGACATTATACAAATTATCTACGACATTATATTATCATTATTAGGCACTTGGACCCAACCTTTTAAAGTTAACACTGTATTTTTCTCTTTTTCATTTTTTTTATTGTTTGAACTTTTCAAGCTTTGATATAATTATGTATTGTTTATGCCTTTGTGTACATATTTTAAAATACTATTCGAGAATAAGGGTATATATTGGATCCATTAAAGTTTAAGTCTTTTTTTTTTTTTCTTTATTATTAAAGTTGAGAGTTATTGAAAATGTTTGAAGGTGACTGAATCCAATAGAAGCTTGGTGTAGAAAGGTGTGCATATTTTTGTAAAGACATTCCAATATAAAATGGAGAAAAGATAATTAATTACAAGTTTAGTTACCTTTTAGTTTTCTTTAAACTATGAAAACAAAAAAATTAATCTATCCACGTAAAAATTAATTTAGTATTATTTTTTAAATCAACATTTAGTAAAAAACATTCAAAATATCTTCTCAAAAAGCTAAATCAAACAAACACAACGACAATTGTTTTGATCATGGCAACTTGTGGGCCAAACAACATTATTCAATGAATGACATTTTGTATATAACACGATAAACCAAACCCTCCAATCCCAATCCATTTTTCAAGTTTATTCTTCAAATAATTCTCATTGTCTTCATCCTCCAATTGAATCCACGCGTATTAAACTGTAAGAAAAATATTTTGAGATATAAACAAAAAATTTAAAAAAATAAAAAACGAAGCTTACGATTGCAACAATCTCTTATTTTGTCTCCAAATAACCATTCTTATCCATAACAAATGCAACCTAAATTTGTGCACACACACACATGCTTTATTTAGCGACCTAATCTATGCCCTTGTTTTTGGGTGTACATTTGTTGTGTATACTTTTTTTTTCTTTTCTCACAAAAATAGGGTTAAGTTAAGGTGACATGTCATACGACAAAGAAGTACCACGAATTTGTACTCATACATTTTTTGTTGCCCCTGAAGCATTGGAGCGTGGTGGCAATCATTGAAACGCACTTCCTTTACAACAAGAGAACGCTAAAAATGGCTTTTAGGAAGCGCACTTTGTTAAAAGACGAAAACCCAAACAACACTTTATTCATTCTATTAGAAAATTTTACTATTTGACTCATTGTTGCCAAAAGTGTCTCAAATGTTCCACCGACCCTATCCACTAATTGTTCTTCTAGCCTTATACTCTCCCTTCTCAATTCTCATCTACCGCGTAAAATGTGATTGGAATTAAGGTGGTTTCTGATTATGCAACACAGTTTTTATTATTGTTATTTACACCCTACCAGAAGCTAATTAATCAGCATTTTGTGCTCCTGAACCACATTTTAACTTTTTAATCTCATTTTATTTTGACTCAAACTCGTGAAACTTAATTCATGAGAACCTCGCAATTATACCACCAAAGAAAGCTTTTTCTTTTATTTTTTTCACTTTTTCCAGGTTCAATGAATAATGTCTGGAACAAATGTTTCACAAACTAATTTAATTGAATAACCAAATAAATAAATAAAAAAGACATGGCCCTAGTCATAGACAAAAAGATATGATTTTAAGAATAAAATAAAGGTACATCACTTTGGATGGAAATTTTTTAACTACCAATTTCTTTATTAGTAGGGCAATATAATAATTTATATATATATATGAATAGAAAAAATATTAATTAATCCCTATCTATACCTACTAAAGTTTTATCTCTATTTTTTCATAAAGTGATGAAGAAAGATAGTAAAACAAAATTGTACTTCAATACTTCATTTGGAAACATTTCTTCAACAAATTCTCAAGAAATTTGTGTTATGTATTGATGAGTATTGTGTAAAGATCTTAAGGGACAACATAAATATAAAATTAGTTTGATACTTTTTATTATTATTTTTATGTATTTAAGATCTTTGACCGCAAATTTTGGTAGAATAAGAATTTTTCAACTATAATGATAAAAAATATTAAATAAATATTCAAATAAAATATTTCTATTGTATGATGATCAAATTAAAATTAGAGAATATGATATCATGCATACTATTTGGAATACCGTAAAAATATATTATTTTAATAATTCATTATATTTATAATAAATTATTTTTATACTCAATTATGATTAGAATAAACTTCTATAAATTTTTTTTTTCAAATGGGACATATTTAATCATTATTTTTTTTTATTGTGTTGTATGTTTCAATGGGACATTTTCTTTTTAAGGGATGTGTGTATATATTAAATTAGAGGGTGAGAGAGAGGTTTTGAAGGGAAGGCTTACCTACGACCACACCGAAAGAACCTACAAAGTAACCCCTCACTAGGGTACCTTCCAGTCCAATCCTTCATGTCTCTAGCAACTACCCTCCACTTTCTTTCTTTTTTTAACCACCTTCCATGTCTCGTACCACACCCTCTTCATAAATCATGTTACATTTATTTTTACTTTGGTAGATAAAATTTATTCAATGTTTCATGGTTTCAAAAATAGGTTAAAATTGAATTTAGTCTCTCATCTATGTTTGAAATTTCAGTTTAATTACTTATATTTTAAAGGCTCCATTTTTATCCTTTTTTTTTTTTTTTTTTTACCTTTTAAAGTTTTCCTATTAATCTAGAAGTTCATTGTATTAGTTTATTATGCTAACTTGGTTAAATTATTAGTCAAACTTATCATTGTTAATATTAAAAGCAATATGGAATTTTGAACTTTAATTTATTACAAATATGACATATATGTGTTGATTATTATTTTTACGATGAATAGTTCGCATTAAAAGTAGAACAAAATATTAATATTTTTATTTATTTATTAATATAAAACTATGACTTTTTTTTATTTGATTGAATAGAACACTATGACTTAACTAATCGAATGTTTGTTTGGAGATTTTTTTTATAAGATAAATTTAAATTGGATTGGAATATTTGACAAGGAATAAATAGTAAACAAAATTTGAACATTAGGTGAGTCTGATCAATATATTTTTTACTTTATTTTTTTATTTATATTTTTATCTTTCACTATTTTTTTACTATTAATTTATATTCAACTAAACATATTTAATTTTTAATCTTATTTCCATATACTATAATTCTCTTACATAGAAGTGATGTGAGTAATTCATAGGTACATAGGTTTCCTTTACTATAAATAAATGATTATTTCACATTTGAAAGTGTTAGAAATTTCTTTAAATTAATGAAATATTACATTTATGTAATTTTGTTAGTGCATGAAAGTTATAAGAACGTGAGAAGTGGTAAGAATTTCATATTTGATCCATTGATTTATCCTAAAGATACGAAAAAAAAAATACAAACTTTTAATTTGGTAAAAGATAAAAAACGTTTTCTAAATGGATGTGCAATTCAGAAACAATAATTGTCGAGAATTCAAATTAATCCACGTGGTATTAAAAAATATCAAATTCATGATTTAACATCTTATAGAAAAAAAAATCGGAAGCAAGTGACATAAAATAATTTATTTTTTTTATCAGTGACCATGATGTGACATTTTCTTATCACGATACCATTAAAATTATATATTGTTTGAATGTTTGTTACGTCTTATCATTATTCCATATTAAATCTTTCTTTATTTTCAATTCAAACCTTGACTTTTTAAAACATTATATTATAGTTGACTTAGTTATTTATAGAAATTGAAATTGCACTTAAAATTTGGGAATGTTCTTTAGTTACATGTTTTGCAGAAGAGGGTTAAGACTTTATTATAAATTAGTGATTTAATTTCTGAAAATTATAAAAACTCAACAAGACAGTTTTAATCAAACAAAATTATATATCTATAAAAAATAAGAGATTGTGGCATTAGTATTATTGCTTAACATTCAAGCAAATTGAAGAAATTTTTTTTTTATTATTTATTATTGGTAAATTATTGATACAATTACAGTTACAGGGTTTGTCATTTTTCATTACTGGAACAACTATTCTTGTACAAGGTAGTTAGACATGTGTTCAATGTAAGTAGTGTTTTTGCAGCATCTCTTTGTGGTTGTGTGTTTTTGAGCATCGTGGAAAACACAGGCAATGAAACATGGTTGGATTTCAAGGTCATGACTGTGAAGACAGTATGAGAAACGACAAGCAACATTGCTCCTCCATTTAGGGCTAGTGTCCCTTGTTTAAACTATAGTTATGACACACAACCCCATATGTGGGACTGAAACCCAGAGACTCTAAATTAGATCCAATTAATAATTAAACTGAAATATATTTAATTTGGTGTAATTTAAGCTTTATAAATTTATTTATAGAGTTCTGATGTTTACTTTTATTTATGAATATTACTTACTTTATTATAATAATGATATTTTAAAATTTAAAATATAAAACATATTATTTTAAAATTAATTTTTATCTTATCGATTAAATATAGGTATTTCTGGTATTAAAATCATCTCTAAAATTATTGAAATAATAATTGTTAATTATAATGGATTTATCACCTTTATCGAAGCAACAAGACTATTTAAAATGAGGAGTTGTGTTAAGAAATATATATATATATATATATATATATATATATATATATATATATATATATATATATATATATATATATATATATATATATATATATAAAATGATACACATGTAATGTGAGAAATTAGAAAAAGGAAAATTAGATTAAATAGGAAGTGTGGTCTCTCTCATTCTTAATGGATAATCCTAACGTCTCCATTTCAACAAATGGGCCAAAACCATGGGCCAAAGGGTCCAGGAAGCGCATTGAATTGTACAAGTACCTAACAAAAAATTGTACAACTTACAAGTACCTAACAAGGACTATGTAAAATGATGAAAAATAAAAAGAGTACCCAACTAAACCATGGAAATGTATTTTCTTCCATATGAAAGTTTAATAATAAGGCCTTCAGTTTTTATTGTAGAGGAAATTATATTATTTTATCATTTCTCAACTGAAGTATAATTTATTGTTCTTTCTAATACTTTTTTCTTTTATAACTTATATTGAATTGAGAATTAAAATTATTTATATTGCTTGGAGGATGTGCTAGAATGACTGTTTTAGCATATGCTCTAATTCAAAATATCATTATAACAGAATCAGTGATAAAAATTTCTGTAAGATTCGTAACAACAAAGTGAGAGATTTCTTTTGTATACACTTAATACACAAATTTAATAAGGTTGAGATTTCTCATCCTTCTCAAATGGTAGATACACAGTATATGCAGTATCTTCAAGCATATCTTTTCTTCATAATTTGATAAATACACGTGCAATTGTTTCTGATATGTATTTTAACCACTTCTAGATTCTCACTCTATTGCCGGAACTGGCATCAGGGGGAGCGTAAATGAAGAATAGCTCCTATGATCAGCACTGCTACTGTGCATATTAAAGCCTGCAAGATCACCATAGCATTCAAAAATGGAAGAAACGAAGTGAACTACAATAATACTTGGAATCTTCCACTAGGATGATAAGAATATATACAAAGAAGATTAATCCATGATGAGTACTAAAAAGGGTACATAGCTGTTCCAAGCTCTTTTGCTTCTTCAAGTTGAGATAAGTGGAAGCTTTGTTTGTAAACAAGAGTTTCAAGTTTCAACAAGTTTCTTTTAGCTTCATTCAAGTTGTGTCAGAGGTTAGTGCTATGATCAAAATAGTGTATATAAATAAGGATAATTCTTCTTTTATTAGCTAACTTTTGAAGTTGACTTTGACTCAAATTCAAAGATGATATAAGAACTTATTCTAGCACTGTTTTTAAGTCTATCACATCACTAGGCTTGATTGTTTGTTGGAAATATATGTTCTGTGTGTGGTATGGTGAATTCATTATGCAGGGTTATTAAGAGAATTATGTGCTCATGTTTAATGATATTCTAGTGCATTATGTTGACAATGAAAAATGTAAGTATCACCACGTAGAAAATTAAACAAAAGAGAGAAAGAAGAGAAATGTTACAGCAATTGCAGAGGCTCCTAACCCTGCCCTTTCCCTAGGATCCTTTTTATAATAATTTCCAAAGTATAGGAGTGTGGCATAGTACCACAGAGGTGGACATAGAAATCCCAAAAGAAATCTGAAATTAAACACACAAAACCATAAGGCAAGAAGAAGAAATTTGGAAGAGAGTAGACCAGTTACTTACGAGAACCATCCAATTCCACAACCATAACATGGAAGGGGCTTGTCATAAAGTCCTGTTTGGAAGTCTTCAGGACCTTTAATTAGGGTATAGTTGCCCTTCTCAGGGTCTCCAGCATCCATTGCTTGACCTTTCATGGCCATACAAACTGTTTGAGCAAACTTGTTTAAACAGTTTTAGTGATGAATATAAAGAGAAGAGACACATTTCCTGTAAGTGTATTGTTTAACGAATTATTGCTTTCCACTTTAATTAAGGTATGAATGAAAACAATGGATGAAATTTTAGATTCCAAGTAACACAATTAGAAAGTAGAAACTGATTTTTGAATTTCTGGTATACCAACATATCATTTTCATTTACTGTCATTACCTCTAAAATTTGAATAATTTCGGGCATATGGCCTTAGAAGGTCAAGATGCTTATCAGATGCTGATGTTGTCAATTCCACACCATTTCTCAAATCAACAGTCTCTTCCATACCACAACCTGTCATCAAAAGAAATCACATGTCATGTAATTTTGCATTGTTTCTTGGTGTCTTCCAAAGGCATTATAAAAGTAATGAATGCAGTTATTGTCATAGTGAAAAATCAAGCATAGGAACATGCCAAGTAAGACAACATTATCAAAGGTTGTTTCCATTAAAAACCATCCTGTCCATGAAATTTAACTTGTGTTGTTGGTGCGTGGAAACTATAGTCCAATGACATAATAATTTTCCTTCCTTGGATGAATGATAAGTTGGGCTAGAAGGAAGGAACTATGATATCATGAAACTTTCACACTCTTTTTTGGCATGTCAAGAATAATGGTAACAATATTATCCAAACAAGGATAAGTGCATGTAAGGGGTAAGAATACCAAGACTGATACCATCCAAATCTCAAATATCTTCTGCATACCAAGCTGGTGCCAATATATTGTTTAGTATAATTTTCATTTTTTAATAAAATCTCACGCTGATTTATATGAGAAGGATCAATACTAAATCAGAATAGTTAATGCACAACACAACATTCTGCACATGCTCATTGGAAAGGCAGTATACATAACCAAGTCTCATTAAGCAGTTTCCTTATCACAATCTAATATGCATATATCAATTGTTGATAGAGGAATTACTTTCTTAATAAATTAATAAGAACATGTTTTGACTTTTAGTACCTTGATCCATTTGTTATTGTTGAGCTAGTTCACAGATTCAGCTCTTCAGCTGTTCAAACCAACACTTCAAACCCCTATTTCACAGATACAAAACATTATTATTATATGATATGCTAGTTTTGAAAACTATGAAGCTTAGCAAAATACTTAGAATGTAGGATTTATGGAACTCAAAAGAAAAGTTTCCTATACTTTCTTGCAAGAGACAATATTTAAATGTCACCGGAGTACCAAAATTGTCGTGTACACTTAATTTTTCAGTTGTTGTTCTGACTTCTAAAAATAGGGGAATTCTACTTGTCCTTCAGAAAGCTTTAGGATTGTAGTTTTTTACAAAGAACCTTAAAATATTTGTTCATTATTTCTTCAGAGGCAAGAGGTTTTGAGCTGTAAGGTTTAATATTCATGAGTTGTGATAATAAAACCATCGGAATCAACAAAACTATTACTCATCTAAACCGTGAAGTTTAAGAAACTAATCATCCATTGTACTGCAACACGTATCAAAACAGAAACAAAAGTAGAAAACATCCACTTAAAGTTATTCAGAATATCTCCAAATTCAGAGTTTCAGCTCATACAACCCATTGAAATCTCTTACATAACAAAACATGTAGGAATAATGAAGCACAACATAATAACAGGAACAAATTAATGATGATGATGGTTATGCTAATGAAGATGATAAGAAAATAGAAAAGGCTTTTAGCGATGGAAAAGAAACACACACACAAAAAAGGCTTTTATGCATCAGAAGGAACACCCATGAAGAAAAAAGAGAAACTGAATTGAGCAAACACAAAAAACATGAGAAATCAAAGAAACACTTGCCTTGAAAAAGCAACAAGAAGTTGCACTGAACAGAAGGGAGAGAGGAACAGAAACTTATTTTAAAAAAAAAGATATCTGCTTGATATTGAAGAGATGTTGTTCAAACATGATAAACAATTGCTGTTACCATTTTCCCCTTGTATTCATCTGAGCATTAACAAAAGTTAAAACTGCTCAAAGCTGAATAGAATTGACTATTTCTTTGTCTTCTTAAATCACAAGAACCTTAATTTAATACATCAATTTGAAGAATATTAAATATAAGTTGTGTGTTATTTTTTGTGATCTAAATTGTCTCTTCACCTTGTCAATTCTGCAACATGACAGTTTATTCACGCAGCCTCTTTGTCTTGTTTGCTTTCACATTCTTTTAATTAATTTTCTCCTAGATAACACATTTTTATACAATTTTGTAATATATATTTTCAGTATTGATTAAAGTTTATATTAAAGTTCATACTTAGAAATTAATAATAAATGAAACCCAAATGTAATTTACTGCTATTAAGCCTCTTGATTGAAAGTCTCTTTTGATTGGTCAATGGTCAGCACTTTACACAGTTAGGTGGTGTTAGTGGAATAATTTATTTATAATATATTGGTAAGGATTTTTATATGAATAATTTAATACTGCAATCAACAATAAATATTTAAATAATAACTCTGAGTAAGTAATTGTGTTTGGTGAAAAGGCATTTTAGAAGTCTCAAAAGTCAAACTTCTGTTTGAAATTAATAAAGAGATTGTTTGTTTATGTTTGAAAAAAAAATCTTTATTTTCATTTTTTTATAAAATAAATCTGGTCAACAATTTCTTATAACAAATTAAAGAAGTCTAAAGGCATGTTTTAAAGTAAAACCATTTTAAATTATGAAAAATACATACAATTTATTAAAATATTAAACTTATAATAGTCTATAATTTTATTTTATTTTAAAATTTATTGTTGAAGTAGAATTATTCCTCTTTTTCTGCTAAAAACAATGCTGCAATTTTTGAATATTTGCCTTGATCCAATTCGCGGTTGACTCAATGAAAACTTGGCCCCTTAAATGTTGAGTATGATTCTTGAGTACATTATTAGTTTATTAATTGAATTAGAAATTTGATCAGTGGACCTGGAGAAAATCAATAAGCCCAATTTCTTTTTAGAGAATCAAGTGGGCTTAGTTAGTGGTCTTGCATTCTTGATGGGCCTAAGCTCTTTTGTAGTATAGCCCAAAGAGATTTTATGCAATAGTAGCCCAAAGTTGTTAGCATAAAGTAAAATTAGCTCAAAGTTGTTAACGGAAATAATTAAAATTCAGACCAAAATAAACCTATTATATTATATGAACACTTCAATAGCAGGTTATCCAAAAATATATAAAAAAAAATGTACGTGGGTGGAAGTTATTCAGCTTAGAGGGTCTTGTGGAGTGCCACGTTTGAAAGCAGAACAGAACAGAGAAGAACAGAACAGAACAGAACACCCTTCCTTCTTCTTTCTCCCATCTCCAAAACAATCTTTTCTTCACCCTTCTCTCTTCTCTCTCACCTCTTTACTTATATCACTACCCACCCACCTTTTGATTCAGTGTCTTGGTGCTCCTTTTTTATTCCTGTTTTTCTTTCTTTGGGCAAATATGGGGGAAGAGGTGAGTGTCACCACTTTGCATAATGGAAACAGTGGAAACCATGATCAGAACCTGGAACTTGACATTTATCCTTTGAGTAATTACTATTTTGGATCCAAAGACTCCATTCCCTTCCGAGATCTCACTCTACATCATCGACTTCTCAGAATCCAGTCCAAGTTCCTTTCTTTCTCCCTTCCCCTCTCTTCATTTCTTTATGCAATCTTTCTTCTCTTAACGTTTTTTGTAATCTTTTGTTAGCTATGCTACCCGTGGATTACGAACTTGTGTGGAGGCTGTCTTACTGGTTGGTTGCTTCTTCCTTTAACCACTCCCTTCTTCCACCTTTTTTTCATATACTTTCTTCTTTAAAGTCTTTGTTGCCACCATTTTTTTGGTTGAAGACCATTTTATTTCTTAGCCTTTGTCACGTGAGTTCTATATTCTGTTCCAATTTGCAAGTAATGTTTAAAATTTCTTAATTAAGATTGATATGGGGAAGGCCTGATTGACTTAACTTTCCTTGTAGTTTATGGACCTCTTTGTATGAATGTCTTGGAAGAAGAAAAGAAATATTGAAGTTCCGATGTTAGCCTTTTCATACTCAATTAAACTATTAGAAGTTATTTATTTTTTCATTTATTAGAAATAAGTTTACCCAAAGAGATCGTGTAGTGATAATCTTCATCTTAGCTATTGGGCACTTAGTGCTAGATGCTGTCAAAAAATTATACATGGGTCAAATTTTAAAATATGATTGTGAACTGAGAACATAAGTGTTCCTGTATCAGGTTGAATTGTTCAAACATCCACATTTGTTGCTTTTGCAAGTAAGAAATTCCATCTATAAACTTCCCGGTGGTCGATTAAGGCCAGGAGAATCAGGTATTAGAGGACTTAGAGGTAGCTCAAACATTGAAATGAAAAGCTTTGGGGATATTTTTGTGATTTTTTTACTGAATTTGTAGATACTGATGGATTGAAGCGTAAGCTGGCAAAGAAGCTTTCTGTTAATAAAGATGGAGATGAGTCACAATGGGAGGTATTACACTTGTGCTTTTGACCTTACAACCTCACATCATATAGATCAGCTTAAACATAGTTTACTTCGTTTAGGTGGGTGAATGCCTTGGAATGTGGTGGAGACCTGATTTTGAAACATTAGTGTATCCTTTCTTGCCTCCTAACGTGAAACAGCCAAAGGTACATGATTCCAATGACTTGTTCATACAAGTTCTGATAAGAGATTTCCTAGTTTCATAGTCTTGCTTCGTGGTGTAGGAGTGTACAAAAGTCTTCCTTGTGAAGTTGCCTGCTAGTGGGAAGTTCATTGTACCCAAGAACATGAGGTTGCTTGCAGTCCCGTTGTGCCAAGTTCATGAAAATCACAAGGTTGTTCTGATTTCATTAAGCCTTCACAGTAATATTTGAAATTAGTATATGTGGCTAATCTGGTGTTTATCTACTTAATCTCATTCATGTTTATAAATTTAAAACCAAACTTTTGGATAACATAGTCAAACTGAAATTATTCAAACAATTCCTTTTGGCCCCCTTCATTGTAGTTGACTTTCTCATTGAATTGTTATGATCTGTGTGTGCAGTGTTCAGTTAATTATATTTGCATTTTGCAGACTTATGGGCAAATAATATCAGGGATTCCACAGCTTCTGTCAAAATTCTCTTTCAACATGATGGAATCTTGAGACCTGATTGTTTATATCGTCTGCTAAAAAAGGCTTTTCTCCTTCGTATCTGCTCCTCATTTTGTGCTGGACAGAGACTTCTATATGTCATAGCTTTCTTCACCAAAAATTATACTCTAATTATGCAGTAGATACTACATCATACTTGTATGGTTAGTGTGAAATTTTAATGTAATTATAGTAGTATATTTTATTTAAACTTTGGTATGTATTTTAAATACTACCGATGCAACAGTTTGCAAGTGGTTTATGGTGCACACTAAATAATAATCATTGTATTGAACTAATAATATTCAGTGTTACAATGTGTCTGAAGAATAACCTCTCTACAATAATACCATAACTGTGTTGGAGATCTTACTTTCACCACATATACTCAAAACCCAAAGATTTTGTACAGCGGATATTGAAGCCAACGACAACAATGATGCAGCGAAACGACCACAAAAAGTTGTGGTCTTCGATGCCGTTAGCAACCACAAATTGATGGTTTTTCTTAAAAGGATGGGCGAGTTAGGATTGAATATCAGAATAAAAAAAATGAATGTACCCAGAATGGTTTTTAGAAGGTTCATTTGTACATGATTCAAAAATGTAAACTTGGAAGGAAATTCCTTGTATGCTGAGAATTTGTCTTGGTACCCTCTTTTTTGTGTCACCTGTCCTTATTTCCTATGTCATCTGACATTAATATATATAATCATTTTTTTATTTTTTTATTTCTTTCTTTATTTTTTGTATTTTGACATCAGTGTTGTTTTATTTTTTTCATTATCTTTAGCTTTGTTCAGTTTGGTAATTTCTCAATTCATTTGTTTTGTTCAGTCCACTAATTGTTTTCATTCTTCTGCTTTGCTCCATCGGGTGCCATTCTTCTACTTTATGTAGAAAACAATTTCTACTGACCAGTCAAATCTAAAATCTAGAAATAAAAGTAAAAGAATCACCCTCCATTGTTCGCTAGTTTGTGTGTTAGTTTTTGATTTCCAAATCTTTGTTCTTAGTTCAGGATGATGTATGTTAAAGAACTGATATTATATACCAAAGAATGAAGTGCATATACCCTTTGCAGAATAATTGAAGACCCGAGAAAGTGCTTGTAATGTGTATGCTAATATTCTTCCACTTTATCATATGGGATGACACGTAATTTTAATAATGAGTAATATTGACAATATATTAAGTTTCTTTTATTAACTCTAATAAACAAACTATAAGTTTATTTTAAGTCACAATTAAATAAGATTTTTCAATTTGAATAAGCCCTTTTAAAGTTATTACTTCCAATAATTGTCAAGATAGAATACATTATGTTGGAAAATACAAAGTGACCAATAATGAAAGAGTTGAACAACGTATAAGAAAATATGATACATAATCCAATGTCTTAAAGTTTTGGATTGAGAGTAGTATCAATTCTTTACATGTGTTTGTCTTATATCTTATTGATATTGTTTCTTTCCGATAAATTCTCCCTTGAAAGACCTCACAATAATATTAAAATTGAAGGTTGATCAACAATTTAAGATAAACGGTGGAAAGGTCATAGTAAGCTCGATAAGATATATCAATTTAGAAGAATTCATCCTTGAAGGGGAAATTGTTGAAAAATATAAGGTTGAAAATGCCACTAGTAAGTTTGAGAAAATGAATCAACGTGGAGAAATTCACATTTGAAAGGAGAATATTGGTAAGAAATGAAAAAATCACTAGTAAGATTCACACTTAAAGGGAGAAATGGTTGGAAAATACAAGTGTAAGTCTAAATTCCACATTAAGTAAGAATGAGAAAGTTAAATAACATACAAAATACTTTAAAATTTTAGGTTGATGATGATGTTAATTAATTATTTAATATAATTTCCCCCAAATAAATCCCCATTGAAATACTTAAATTGAAGCTTAAAAATCTTCGTGAAATAAAATATTTATCATTACTAAACTTAGAATATAATTTTTAGTGTGAAGCTGGTTTAAACATATAAAATGAAATAAGACATATATCTTTAACGGATTGTATAAATATAAAATAGTATATTTTGAAAAGACCCTCTCAAATAAATAATATTTGTTTAAAAGTAAGAAAAAAAGCTACAGTGACAAAATGCGAAATTGGTGAAAGATTTATATAAAATAAATAGGTTTATTCTGGAATGAATATCGAAAAAAATGAAAATTACATTTAAAAACATTTATTAGAAAGTGAAAAGAGTTTGTGGAGAGAGTTTTGGGGAAGTTACCTCTCTTTTGGCATTTATTTGTCTATGAAAGAGGTCTCAGAGTTTGATTTATGAGTATCGATGGCTACCCTACACCAAGTCGGTCTTCCTTTCAACATCAAAGGAAATAGACAAAGAAAAATGATTATTTGGATCATAAGAGGCCATAAACAAACTCACTCTTTACATTATTCTTCCATCTCCTTAATTTTCCAACCACATGCTTTTTTCTACTCTTCCTTCAAACCTTCTTTACACACACTATTTCATATAATGTTTTCTTGCAATTTTAATAGAAAACTGTTTCTTGTATACAATTCAAACAAATTGTTTCTTTTAAAATATTTTTCACCCTTTACAATAATAAGCATCAAACTTAATTCTTATAATCACTTATAACAAATATTCAATTAAGAATATCATCAACTACGTAATATTTTTTTTCTTGCAAAGCTAATCTAAACACACAGTAAACTTCTTCTTCCTTTTTATTTTTTTAATAAAATAATAAATTATTATGATTTTTAAGAACAATTTTGTACTTTTTTTTAAGAAACAAATAAAAAATAGACGCAAGAGATATCTAACTCAAATAATATTATTTGTAGGATGATAAAACGAGTTAAGTTTAAGCACCCTATCCCATTAACTCAATTGAAAATGACACAATGAATAAGTAATTTTAATCCAACAATCTATTTTGGACCGTCTTTTTTAACTTGTCAATCCGATGATCGATGAAATAGGCTGATTCACTTACTCATTTTAAAAAATATTTATATATTAAAATAAAAAAATATTTTAATTAAAATATTTTAATTTTTTGTGTTATATTATTGAAATATATAAATATACTATAATATTATATTTAAATTATAAAAATTAATCAACTAAGTTTAAATTATAAATTATAATTAATTATTTTAACACATAAATATAATAATTTTTTTAACTTATCTAATTAAAATATTAATTAATAAATAAAATTTAAAAATTGTTCAAAGGTATAATGAATGAAACTGTTGAAAGATGTAGTTTTTTTTTTTTACTATAATGACCAATACATCTTGTTTCATTTTTGATGGATTAAAAATATAATGAACCAAAATGGCTGTACTGACACATTTTACTATCGTAATTATTTGTATCTTTAATTAATATAAGATTTTATCAAAGATAACTAAAATAGACTCTTACACTATCTAAAAATTATTCTCACCTCTACACTTACTTAATCACATATATTACAATAATATTATATATTTAATTGATTGTTACATTTATTTTAATCGAATAATTTTTTATTTTATTTCTGTTGTACATTGTTAAATAAGGAAAATCTTATCTGGTAGAGTGGTTAATTTGTTGTTTTCGGGTGGATTATTCATAAATTCAACGTTGAAAAAGTTTAAATAAATGAATTATAATTAACAACTATTTTGGAAAAATTTACAGAATTTGTGTTTGTGTTCACAACCGAGAATGGAACCATAAAAATAAGAATATAAGTAATCTTCTTAACGTCAATTCATTGACTTTCTTCCATACACAAATTGGTGTTAATATGAATTTTAACAAAAAATAAATAAATCACAAACTTATTTTAATATAAATTTTTATTATTAATTGAAAATTATTAAAAAACAAAATACAATAAATTTATATTTTATTTAATGAAAATCGCTTATGATTCTCCAATTATTAATAAAATTGTAATCAATAGTAAAAAACTATATTAGAAATAATGTGTAGAACAAAGTGGTGCCCCTTTTCTTACAAAATCAAAACTAAAAAAAATTGATGTATATAAAGTGAGAGGATATTTTAAAGGCAAAACTCTGAATTTATAATCTTAAAAATAATGAGCCAAACACTTAATAATCCTATATTAACAATTCAACGTTGAAAATATTGAAAATCTAAGTAAATAAATATAGTTTATGAAAAAGATTTAATTATTAGATAAAGTTTTACATATTTCATAAATAGTCTATTGGTCAGTGTTATTATGTATGTCACAATATTTCAAAATTTTGACCACTTCAAGAAATATACTTGTTATGAATCAATGTATAAATTGTTGGTATTACAAGACTTTTTTTTTTTTTTACTAATTTATTTTTTTATAATTGTTATCTAAGAATTTATATTTGGATTATTTTATTTCATCCTAATTATTTATTTTAGTAATCGATTTTATCTATTAGATTTTTAAATGAAATAAACAAAAAAATAAAAAGTAAATTTTTAAAAGTTAGCATGAAAGTAATTTAGTTCTTGTTTCTCTCTCTGTATATAACATGGACAATTGAAATAACAAGTCATAATTTTTGAAAATAAAACTGAAATTACTATATGACATTGATTTTCAATCATTCATACATATTTATATCATCACGATATGTTTATTTTATTTCTAAAAAATAAAATATATCATATAAATTTTATGTAAAAGATATACTCAATGTCTCTGTTAATGGAGTGGGAAAAATCTGTAACAGAAGAAAAAGAAAAAAATGGTCGATTTGTCCATAGAATTAAATAGAGTTTGCAATTGCACGTGAGAACAGTGGAGAAGAAAAAGAGAAATTATTACGAGACGCGGGTACAATGTCTGAAAAGTCAACACAAGTCTTCGTCTTCAAACTTCAAACCTCATTTCTTTACTCCTTTATTGTGATTCTTCTTCTCACCAACCTCTGCAACTTCAAAATACTATAAACCTTTCACTTTCAACTCATTTACTTGCACATACTAAATACTATAATCACTTAGTTGCCCACATATATTTTCACTGTGTTGTGATATATAATCTTGCTATATATAATATAATATATATACATACATAGAAAGTTTTTCTTTTTCTTGGAGCTTGGGAACCCAACTAGGAGCACAGAATGATGAAGAAAGGGAGCTTAAGCTCCGGGCTCAAACTCACTATTCCTGCATCTAATCGGGGTTCATTTACCAAGTTCTTGTGAGCCTCTTTTTTTTGTTTGAATGTTTGATTAGTGTATGGTTTTGGCTGATTCGAATTGTGGCTATTTGGTGGGGTGTGGTAGGTCTGGGTCTGAAAATGAAACGTTCAAGGCAGCGGACTTGCTTGTCAACAAGGAAGGAGTTCGAGTTGTTTCTGGGAATGAAGTGGAAGCTGTAACATATTTCTCTTTAACTTTCTATGTTTTGCACTTTATTAGTTGCTTGTTCGAAATATATGTATATCCAATTGCGTTGGTAAGTTGTTTCTCTTTTGGATTTGATCTTTTGACTCTGATGAAATGCTTTCTTTGACAAGAAGGGGTTCCTGAGTTTTCTGTTATTTGACAGAATGGGGCACTGTTTGCTTAGAAGGAGAAAAAGACCTTTTGTAAGATGGATTATATGGTGTTTCTCCCTTATAATAAGTAATAAGATATTCATTATAAAATTTTTGGATTAGGATTAGAGAGAGAAAGGGGTTGTAAATTGTTAATGAGTTTAATTTATCTCTTACATTCGTTTTGTCTATACACAAATAGAACATAGGCTGCAAGCCGATGATGTAAAAGATTGTGTTTGGGAAACATCATTCAATCAAATCATGAAGTGCTGAATAAATTGAGTTTATAATTTCATTTCTATTCTATCTAAAAACAATAAAGCATGTTTTGTTGTTTTCTAGACTCAAAAAAATTTGTTATGGTTCTACCAGAATGTTGTGTGAACTTTTAGGGTCAGAAGAATCTACCAAGACACCATTCTTTCTATGCTTCTATTAGTTTGTGAATTTAACCAGTCAATCATGGTATAAACTGCCAATCTACATTTTACATTGATAAATTTGTATGCTTCTAGAAATTCCATTTGTAAAACACTTTTGCATAAACTTTTTCTTTACAACTAAGAGAGTGATGTAATTAGGAGGAATGTGTGAAATAAGATGATTCATAGGGTAGTGAGAAATAGAGAAATAATGAATTGTAAAAGGCGTGGTGAAGAATAATAATATAACTCACTTTTATCCTCTGCAATGTTATGATCTCAATTTGTATGCATAAAACTGTAGTCCCTGGTACAAGAGGTTCGAATCTCTGATTTCCTGTTTGGTAGAATTTTGTTTGGTCAATACACTTTTGCAAATAGGATAGATGAAGACTGAATTCTGATGATTTTGTTTTTGAGTTTAATATCTGTGCTATTTTCAGCCACCACCAATCACGCCACTAGACAACCAGTTAAACTTAGCAGATATTGATACAGTCAAAGTGATTGGAAAAGGAAATGGAGGGATAGTGCAGTTGGTACAACACAAATGGACTAATCAATTTTTTGCATTGAAGGTATACTTGATCATCTTCTGTTCTTTTGTCAATTTTTTTGTACTGTCATGTCATGTCAACCTAAATCATAATTTCAAAGGTAAAATCATTTTCATTCTCCATTAAATTCATTTAATGGAGACTTTGTTTTTTTGTGATATTTACATTCTTTTTTCTCCATGAAATTACTGTAAGTCAATGGAACATAAATCATTCATATGCAGATCTCTTTCTTTATTCAACATTCGACCTGTTAATGTCACTGAACATGAATCATTTAGATGCAGATCTCTTTCTTAGGAACTGTTATATTTTAATCTGTTAGAGGGGAAAACTTTAGGTTGTGATAAGAAGACTCCACATAAAGAAGACGTATGCTACAGTCATAATTATATAGCATGTAAAATATACTAATTCCGTTCATCTAATATCTTGTCTTCGGTATTATGGTATTATTGAGACAAAAACTTAGTTTTTTTTTTTTTAATTCTATTTATTCTTATAAAAGGAAAGTTTTGAAAAGTTAAAAGTTGAAAAATTACTATATAATAATCCAAAAACTGTAATAAAAAAGAAAAGAAAAACTTGAGATTTTCATGAATATTCTAATATTATGATGTACCAAGATAATTAATTTGATAAATGTGATTAGATTCTTGTTAGATTCATAGTAGAAAAACTAAAATAGGAAAGAAGGAGAAACAAAATATGTTAAAACATTTTAAGCTAAAAATAATAAATATGATATTTTTGTTATGAAATAAGATTTCAAGAAATATATAAAAAGAAGAATGGTTTTAAGGAGACAAATTCTTCAATCAGAGGAATATTATGAATAATTACTGGTTGTCCATTGCCTTAATTATTATTTATATAATTTAAATATTTGTAGCCCTTAAGTTATTATTTGAGTTGAATTTTGTATCTATCTTTTGATAAAATATAACAAATCTTTCTTCTTTTTATATATGTCTTGGGATCTTATTTGATAATAATTTTAAATATTTTCATTTATAACTATAAAGAACAACTAAACACTAAACAAGTGATATAATTATCAATAAATAACTTCTACATAAAAGTACCAAGTGATTTACTTATTCTTCAAGTAAAAGTGTCTTGTCAGCTTATTTTCTCATCAAATTGAAACTCAAATATAAAGTAACATATAATACATAAAACAAGTATTTATAAGCTATATTATGGATTTTTACCACATTCTTCATAAAGTTATAATCTCTTCCTTCTTTTAGATTTGGGGAAAAAGGGACTGAGAGAAAAAATATCTCCACACTTCATCTCAATTTTGCTTTTACACACTATATATATATATATATATATATATATATATATATATATATATATATATATATATATATATATATATATATATATATATATATATAGTTTCATTCTATTTGAGTTTTAGCTCCAATAATCTCGTGCTGGTTATTTTATGGTTCATAATACTTACTTGACATTGGTTTTGATGGTTTCCTCTTGAAGGGTACATGTGATGGTATGTTGTTGGTAAGAGGGACCAAAACCTAAACTATATAAAAGTATAAGGATAAAAGGGAAACTTTTACAATATGAGAACTATAGGATAAAATGTGCTTAAACCTAATTTCTTTTTTGTCATTCATTATATATGCATTTACTTGTAAATGGAATGACGGCAATTATGGGGTAATAACTTCAGTGTATTACTTCTCCTGCTTTTAACGTTTCCAAATTTCAATTTTTCGGTATGTGTTTGTTATTTCAACAATATGAATTTTATTAGCTTGATATTCTTCTATCTGTGTCATTGTCTTAGTTTAGGTTCTTGTAACAGACCAGTCTTTTCCTATCAGATATGTTGGTTGGTAACATAAATCCAATGATGTGTTCATGATTTAGGAAATTCAAATGAATATTGAGGAGCCTATTCGCAGGCAGATAGCACTAGAGCTAAAAATTAATCAATCAGCACAATGTCCATATGTTGTTGTCTGCTACCAGTCATTCTATCATAATGGTGTCATATCAATCATATTAGAGTACATGGATGGAGGGTCCTTAGAAGATCTTCTTAACAAAGTTAAAACAATTCCAGAGTCATACCTTGCTGCCATCTGCAAGCAGGTGAGGAATAAGATATTGTACTTCATCCTTGCATCGTTGATTTCATACCTAACTAGGTTTACCCTTTTCTTCTTTTAACAATACAATGTAGGTGCTGAAGGGTTTGATGTATCTTCACCATGAAAAATACATTATTCACAGGGACTTAAAACCTTCTAATCTGCTGATAAATCATGGAGGGGAGGTAAAGATTACTGACTTTGGTGTAAGCATAATCATGGAAAATACATCTGGTCAAGCAAATACTTTCATTGGCACACACAGCTATATGTCTGTGAGTAACACAAGCAACTGTATTTATCATTTTCCTCTTGGCAATTACATCTGCCATCATTTCATTGAATGCTACTTATCCATCATGGTCATTTGCAGCCAGAGAGAATCATTGGTAACCAGAATGGCTATGACTACAAAAGTGATATATGGAGCTTGGGGCTGATCTTGCTCAAGTGTGCCACGGGGAAGTTTCCATATACACCACCAGATCAACGTGAAGGATGGGAAAATCTTTTCCAGCTTATTGAAGTCATTGTGGAAAAACCTTCCCCCATTGCTCCATCAGATGATTTTTCTCCAGAATTTTGCTCATTTATCTCAGCATGGTGAATATTTATGATTCAGTAACTAAATCATATAACCTCCATAATCTTGGCCAGCAAAAGAAATTTAAAACAAGCACACGTCTCATCACGAAATTAGTTGGGATACTTGAATAGCCTATAATTCAGAAGCAGGACGAGTATTTAGCCAAAACATGTAGTTGTATAAGGCCTTATATTCATATTTTGTTATATAGTCTACCTAAATTGTGTGTGAAGCCCTATATTTTTTTAAGATATCTTCATAATTTCATGGAACAAACCCTCATCTTTGTTTAAACATATCTAAGAGGTTGGAACCTTTAATCAGCTATTTTGTAAAAAAATTGTTACTGTGCATTTTATGAGGCTTCTGATCCTCGTTTTGTCTTTTATGTGTTTAGTTTACAGAAAAATCCAAGGGATAGACCGTCAGCTCGGGACCTTATAGTATGCGTAATCTTAACTATGAGTATTCCATGTAAAATAGATCAAATACTCGTTCTTACAGTGTATATCTCTGATTTAAATTTCAGAACCATCCTTTTATCAACTTGTATGAGGATTTGAATGTGGATCTTTCAGCCTATTTCTCCAACGCAGGAACTACACTTGCAACCATATAGAACATAGTATGTTTCAGTCCTGGACTTTATTCAAAGGTAACAGTTTATTCAAATTGGTGATATGTATCACTTCACTAGGTATTGTTGAAAGCAAATTACCATATAAACAGAATGTGTTGATCTGTCACTGTTATTGCTTCATATGGAGGGAGCAAACCAAGGTTTTAAATTGCAGTTCTGGTCAACATTAGGGGGGAAATGCAGCTTATGCAGTCACTTAATGTTGCAGTCAAAATCGCAATAGCAAACTGTTTTCTAAAACCTTGGTAACAACTACAGTTGCTCATGCTTCGAAACTCAAAATTCTGACTAATTTCTAATTCTATATTAAAATGATCTGTTTAAAGCTTGCATTGTGCTACTTACCAGATTGGAATACTCTGCTAAACCCAATGTTATACATTTACAGATATTACCTATGCTACAAGTATATGTGGGATGTGTTCGTTTGCTTCCAAGTTCCAAGTCTCCATACTAATAAATGAGGTCCTCCCATGAAAAATATGGCATTCTCTGTCAACATGCAACTGGCAAGTTCTACTGTCACCGTATGTGTGTAACTGCAATTTGTATTCCTTTACTTGGTAGAGGATCCCCAGTTTTCCATGACCAGAATTTGCACAATGGAGCCAAGGAAACCAGATTCAATAATTATGTCATAGAATGTACCTGGTCATTAAAAAATAACTAATATTGTATACAGTGGTTGTTATGATTATTCGTGTAGACAACTTGAAACTTTTACATCATTATTCATTAAAAAATAATTTAACTTTCTGATGGGTCAGCTCCAGGGTGACACCTCAATCTCATCTTAACGTGAGGCATCCCTGTGCACGACAAATTTTAGCATACAATATAAAGCCCTGTTGAAAAACTGAAGGGCTGATATAATAAATAAACAAATATGGTAAGGACTAAAAGATACTTGTAGAAATAGAATACATTTGGCAACTATTCCAGATAAAGGGTTATCTATTTTATTCTTTTTTCTTGAATTTTCTTTGGGGCTTCAAGTCTATAACAATGACAGAGATGTTATCTTTGCTTCCTCTTTGGAGGGCAAGTCTAGATAGATACTCTGCAGCATACTGAGCTGCAGGGTCAGGTCCTTGGTCTTCTTGTGACGATGAGTTGTTGCCATTCTTCTTATGCCAAAGAAGGATTCTCCTTCTTGCAAAGTCACAGGCTTCTTCATTTGTCATGACATCCCACAATCCATCACTGGCCAGAATGAGGCACTCGTCGTTTTTGTCTATTTGAACACACTTCACTTCTGGCTCTGGAATTATCCACGGTTTCAAGTACCTATCACCTTTTAATGGACAAGAACCAAATTTACATTCTATATAATTAGGTTGACCATTATTATTATTATTAGGTTCATGAGTTTCTGAAAAAGCTTGTACTCTTTTTCATTTGGCACTTCATTTTGATTCTTCTTAAACATTTTTGTAAATTATTTGTTTACCAAATGGTCATTTTGTGTAGTTTTTTACCTTCCATTGAGTCCTCAAAACAAGTATTTAATCACTCTAAAATGTACATGGAATTCAAAGTTTGTGATATTTGAAAAGACCAAATTAGGGAAAAAAAATAGGAGAAGACTAATGGAGGAACCATTGGATAACAAAAAAAGAAAAAAACTAAGTATAAGCATTGTAGATATATTTGAGATCATAAGTCCTGTTAAACGTAATTATTTCTACTATTACTCACTGTTTTTACCTTATTAAAAGGCTCATTTATAAAATAATTTTTTAAATAAGTTGTTAAGTTATATCAAACTCGAGAGAAAATATATGCCAAATTCCTTATATAATAAATTAGAGTTTTTGGATCCCAAAATCACGGATCCCGAGGGAAATTTTTTGACAAGATTGAATCAATAATGAACAGAAAATAGTGTTCTCTACTCCTCTGTCAATTTTACTTCAGCACAAAAAACTTCGAATAATAGAACCAAAATTCACGTGGCAAAAGAAACTTAACAATTTGATTTGTTATCAGAAGCTGGTATTGTTTATATGACATTGTTATATCAGCAGACGAAAATTACTTTGTCATTGCATTCAATGTAGATTTGTGCAGAAAACTTTTAAGATGTATTGCAAGATCAAATGAATAAAAAACTATTAACAATGTTGCATAAATAAATTTTTGTATTTGTATAAATTGGTGCTATAAAACAACAGAATAGACGCATACCTATGGACCTTGACACTGCCAAAACACCTAGAACTCGGTACCCATTCCACTGTATAACCCTTCCTCCTGCAGCTTCTATCCTTTCCCATTCATCTTCTCTATTTGGCTGCAAAAGATGAAAAATTTCCTCCATCAGATAGATAACTAGAGCTTCTAATAATATTCCAATACACAAATTGAAATATCAACAAAACTTAGTATATTTCTTCTCTTTGGTTCCATTATTCAATCAGAATTAGAACTTCACCTATCAGCATTGACTTCAAATCAGGTGAAACTCCAATTTTAATTGAAGAACACTACTAAAAACACCTATGGAACTGTATGTAAATATTGTCCTTGAACGAATGCCTTACTTTGTGATCATCAGACAATGGCATTGCTTCTTTTCCACGACACAAAACAGCTCTTGAATCTCCACAATTTGCAACTATTATGTGAGTTTGAGTCAAAAGGGAAACCACAGCAGTGGAGCCAACAGCCTCAGGAGCAAGAGGTTCAACAGTTTCTCCATTACCTTCACCAACCCCTCCAACCTCATCATCTACTTTGTGAAAACAATTGGAGAATGCCTTCTTCCATTGATCCTCCCAGTTTTCCTTCCCATTCTGTTCATCCAAGCTTGATTGTGCAGCTTTTATCTCATCAACCAACACTGAATGAAGATGTTCCCCGCAGTAATTAGCAACCTATGAACACATCACCCCCTATGTGACATGGAATGAAATAAGGAGTAACTTCAAAGATACAATTGAAAGAAAGTGTTTTAAAGCATACCTGACAGCCCCCATGTCCATCATAGACACCAAAAAAGTGGGCTGGTGAAGATTTTGAGTTTTCACTCACATAGTCATCCATTACCATCATTGAACTGAATTGAAAAAGGTGAGGCCTAACAGAAATAGCATCTTCCATCTCCTCTCTCCTTCCACAAACTGATGAGCAACCCCAAAGTGGGGTAGTACTGGTGGCATCACTAATTTCCAAGCATGTTGACTTCTCTGGCATCTCATGAACCACAGCACATGGTTTTTTATCAGACTCATCTGATCCACTTCCTTCTTCACTCTCATGTCCTCTAGCAACAGAAATCATGTTCTGCACAGGCTCTGTAGCTGCACGTGGCGGCTCGGTCGAACCGAACCTTCCATGAATTGTGTTATCATCAACCTTGATAGTGATAGGTGAGCTTATTTCACAACAATTAGTCCTAAAAACAGAAGATTCCTCCCTACAAAGGCTATTTTTGTCACCAGTCGCAGATTGCGAGATATGCTCACACTGAAAATCCTTAGCTAACAATGATTCATTTTCTTTCCATGCCTGGTTTTGGTTTTCAGCATGGAAACGGTTATTGTCTCCTTGACTAACCATTTCTGAGACAAGGTCAGCTCCAATCTGATTCCCCTTTGCCTCTGAAGACACTTTATTTTGGGTTTGTGGACCAATATCTGTGTGATTATCACTTTCAATCTGAGAATTTAATATTAAAACTGGTGCAGTATTTGCCCTGAGCTTTAGACCAGTTATCTCCATGTGGGTTGTCACTGCTGGATCTTTTTGTATTAAATTCCCAAGTGTGAATGGCACTGCAACAGTCGATGTTATTTCCTCCATAGGTTGTATTTTTCCTTGAATCAAATAGCCTTATCCTCTAGAATCCTATAACTGCCAACCTCATCAACCAACCCTCTTCACTATGACAAGTTCAATTGTCATATAAGAAGACTCCTACGGCAACAAATTAGAAGATCTTAGGACAAATCTCCTCTACAGTGTTACAAGACCCGTTTTAGACATAAAAAGTTCAGAATCAAAGGTTATATTGAAACAGTGAAGCTAGATGCTAGAATAGCCCTATCTTAGACCCTTTCTCTATTTAAACCTTAATTTCTCTGCCCCTATTCCTGGAACAGAAGGCAATAGATGATTCAAGAAACCCCAAATCCAAATAATTGTCAAAGTCAGTGCCTTGTCTCTCTCTAGCAAACAAGGAGACAAGGGAAATGGGGTCATTAAAAAATATAAACAAGAAAACAAGGACAAGAAGAAATAATACAAATTAGAAGAGAGGTTCCTTGGATATGAGGGAAACAACATCCACCATTGAAATTTAATTTCCCTGGGTTACCTCTTGTGTTCCTTTCATGTGTCAACTACAATATGCCCACCCATCCTCATGTCAACTTCCATCACTTTATGCCATTGCTACCTTTAATAAATTATACCTTCACTTATCTTGAGTGCCTTCAGACTAATCTCTTGAAACAGTAAAAGCAAAGATTTGTTGCTGCTTACCTTTACAAAATGAAAAAAAGGGGATTGATAGGAGGAGCAAAACATCAACAAGTAGATGATGCCAATGCCATTGTTGAACTATTTGTACCAAACTTTAAACAACGAAACATTTGTTTTCTCTTCACCGTTTTCTTCACTTAAAAACCTTAAAATGAAAAAAGCACTCTCAACTCTCAACCTATGAAAACAAACTAACACGTATCAGATGATTCATGATTGATTACCTTTTATCTTCAATACGAAAACAAAAAACAAAAGAATCCTTACACAAGATGTTTCCTTTTCTTCACCAACCAACGAGGAAAAATGGGAAGAGAATTGTATTGTAACAAGCTTCATTCACACTTGTTCCCTTGTTTAATGATGTAAGAGTTTGACACGTTGCACTTTCGTTTCGTTTTTTAGTTGGTCGGTTTGGTTAGGTTACATCACTCCCTAACAAATATCTAAAAGGAACACTTTCTTTAATATCACCTATATCTGCCCAAGATTTTGGACATGAAAGTCTTTCTTTCCGATCTCTCATCCATTCCTATCTTTTAAAAACGTGCTTTTTTTAACAATATTGTTACTATAATGGTGATCAAGTTTGAACCATAGCCCACATAACATTATTTAATGCATTGGTGAGAGGAAAATGATTGGTGAAAGGCAATGAAAAAAGGGCACGTAAGAGGGAAAGATGAGTTGGAGGGCATGTGCGTGAAGATCAAGGGAAGATCCCCATGGCCTAGGGGAGATGCATAAAGGAATATAATAGATTGATTAAACAATAACATGTTGAAGATAAGGATCAAATGACATAAAAATGACTGAAAAGATTAAAAAATAGTCCTCATTTGTATGTTAAATTAATCTTTCCTTTGATTTATCACTCTAAGCTATTAGAGATTAAGTGTCATATTAAATTCACATTCCCTTCACATCCAAAGGAAAATTTATTTCTCAGCCTTTGTCACTTTCAACATAACTATACATATTAATGAAAATAATCAATTCAATTGATTTTATTGAATTTTTGAAATAATATTATAACTGTAGTAAATTTATCCTTCTAAATTATGTTTTATAAAATATTTAATAAAAAAGACTTCCAATTTTTTTTAATTATTTCCTATATTAAGGAACATTGGGAGTATAGTTTTCAATTAGGGGTGATTAATACAAGAAAAAAAAATTGAGCGTTCTAAAATATAAAGTTGAAAAAAAATTGTCTTTCATGATTTATTTTTTAAAGTATAGAAATTAATATTCTTTTGGAATACTTGTTAGTATTATCATAAAACAAATCGACACATTTTTTTTTACCATTGTAATTTACCTAAATTTCAATAAAAAAATTAAAGTGTATTGCAAAAGACTATTTTATTAATATTTGATAAATATATTTTTCTAATAAATTATCAAATTTACTTTTTTATTTTTTTTATTCCTAGTAGTTTTTTTATTTTGTTATTGGTCCCAAAAATGCTATCGAAGTCACTTTCTTTCAGTGTTTAAACTAGTATCTAAATTATCTACATCAAAAACCAAAATGCAAAAATTAATAATGATGAAAGAATCTAAAAAAAAAATCGATAATTTATACCATATTTATGCCCAAATATTTTATTTTAGCATAAATATTAAGTTTTAAGTTAAGGGTAGAAGGTCATGGTGTCATGGACAGTGTCATTTTCCGACACGTTCCCTGTACCCAAAACCAAGGGAAAGGCCTACATAGACAGCAAAAGCAATGAGAATGGGTATCACTTGAAAGCTTCATGTGTACATTAATGTTGAATTAGGCAACTCTCAACATTTGATCATGTCATCATCACTACTAATGATTCCTTCCTAAAATGCTTCCCAAAACACTTTGCAAAGGCTCTTTTGTCCCTACCCATATTTGTAAATCTAGCTTTATCAACATGTTGAGAAGATGAGAGGATAAAAAGAAAAAAAATGTAATTTCTTAACATTCATACAAAAAAAGTTCATGTCTAGAGATTATGAAGGAGAAGTAAAATTTATATGATAAATGGTATCAATACATGTATACCCATGTAATAATACATGAGTAATTTAGAAAAATTATAATAAAATTATTTTATAAAGATTAAATAGAACAAAACTTTTAATTAAGTAAAAACTCAAGGTTAAGACTTGATGTATAATAGTTTTTCTTAATGTGAATGTATATTTTTGACTGATGTAGTGCTTAATGTTTAATAAGACAATGATTTGGAAATTAATGATAAATTAATTAGTAGACCACTGTGCATTGATGAAATTAGGGATGTTTAACAAAAAATTGTAAGGGTTGAACATAATGTCAAAAAGGCTAAGCCTATATTGGATTGTTGGAAATATTTTACAAAAGTTGATTAGGCTAAGGATGGAAAGGAAAATGGATATGGGGGCTTCTAATGGTTAAAAACGATATTTAGAGAAATATTAAAAAAAATGATGAATTGGTAAAATCGGAGTTTAAAAAACAAAACTTCCGTGTTGAAGTTCGAAAAAAACTGTATCTTGGATCACTTCGATAAGATAATTTTAGTGTAAAATTATATTTTTTTATTAAATTAATATTACATTAGTTTTTATTAAATAACTATATTAATTTGGGTGAATCATATAAAGATATAAATTTTGTATTTACTCACTTGTATAAAAACAAAATTATAAAAAAATCTCTTAGTCCACTCAAGAGTTATGTTTCTCTTCTTTGAAAATAAATAAACTTTTGGAGTGTACTAATAAAAAACGTGATTAATTAATTTTTATTAAATTATTTATTATTAAAATCTTATTTTCGAATATGTTAATATGTAAAAAGTGAACAAAGAAAAGAAAAAGATCAATGATTTATTGATCTTTAATGAAAACTATTTAACTCAAAGCTGTTCGAAAAAAATTATTAGAAAAGAGCAAGTTTTAAGAACAATTAGAATAAAATTAAAATTCTAAGTGTCCAAATATAAAACCGATACAGTTTAAGGATTAACGGGAACAAAATTAAAGTCCAAGGTGTCATCGATTAAAAAAAACAAAAACAAAGTTTGAGATAGCAATTTGTAGTAGGAGTAAAGTTTAGAGTGATTAAATGATTTTTCCCTTTAAAGAATACAATTTAAGTTTGGGTATAAAATACAACTGAAAATTTTCAGAAACACAAATTAAAATACTTACTGATAAAAAGGACTCAATGTTGGTAACAGGAAAACAAAACAACGCTCTCAATTTTTCTCCTGATACAATTTCAAATGACTTGTTACAATTATTTATGGCCAAAATATTTGCCTTTTCAAATACCAAACGTAAATCATAATACCTATTAAATAGGTTTACAACTCATTAGTTATACCACTCGTAATTAAAACCATTATAGGAATACTAAACGTCTAATTTAAGTTTTACAATAAATCTCCCCCTTAAACTTAAATACTCTTTCCATCTCTTATTCCAATAAGTCTTTTACAACTCTCCAGCAGTGTAGTTGGCAGTGGTTTGGTGAATATGTCAGCAGCTTGAGCTCGGCTTTCAACATGCTCCAGCTCAACCTTTCCTTCTCTAACTTGTTCTCGGATGAAATGAAATCGGACGTCAATGTGCTTGCTCCTTCCATGATTAACCAGGTTCTTTGTCAACTCGATCGCTGACTTGTTATCAACTCGAATTACAATCCTTTCGTCTTGGATCACTCCCAGATGCCTTAGTAAATTTGAAAGCCAAACTGCATGACACACACTCCAAGAGGCCGCCACATACTCAGCCTCACAGGTTGACAGAGTTACAATGGGTTGCTTCTTTGACAGCCAAGTAAAAGCTGTTTTTCCGAGTAGGAACACATAACCTGAAGTACTTTTTCGGTCATCAATATCACCACACCAATCACTATCCGAGTAACCCACTAGTCGGTAGTCATCCGATTTTGAATAGAATAGACCAAGTGATAAGGTTCCTCGAACATATCTCAAAATTCTCTTTAAGGCCTTCCAATGTGTGTAACTTGGATTCTCCATGTATCTGCTCGTTATCCCAACACTCAACATTAAGTCGGGTCTTGTGCTTGTAAGGTATCTCAGACTTCCGATTAAGCTTCGATATCTCCTAGAATCGACTCGTTCTCCTCCATCAAACTTTGAGAGTTTAGTGCCTGGTTCCATTGGAGTAGAAACCAGGTTACAGTCCTCCATTTTAAATTTCTTTAAAATTTCAAGTGCATACCTCTCTTGGGATATAAAAATTCCTTCCTCTCGATCGCTTCACTTCTAGACCAAGAAAATATTTCATCAGCCCTAAGTCCGTCATTTCGAACTCTTTCTTCATTACCTCCTTGAACTCCTTAATTAGCTTCGTATTGCTTCCAAGTGAATATGAGATCATCAACATAAAGAGCAACTATCATCATATCCTTTTTTGATTTCTTTGTGTACAAAGCATGCTCATATGGACATTGTTCATACCCATTTTTCTTGAAATACCCATCAATTCTCTCATTCCAAGCACGAGGAGCCCGCTTCGACCCATAGAGAGCTTTTCTTAATCTCGGTACCTTTCCCTCATCCCCTCTCTTCATGTACCCGAGTGGTTGCTCAACATACACCTCTTCCTTCAGCACTCCATTTAGAAATGCCGACTTCACATCCATCTCGTAGAATCGACCATTGATTCCGAGCGACTAATGAGATTAGAAGTCGGATTGACTCCATTCTCGTAACAGGAGCAAATACTTCATCATAGTCAATTCCCTCCTTTTGTTTATAACCCTTCACCACAAGTCGAGCCTTGTAACGTTCAACCTCTCCCTCAACATTCATCTTCTTTTTGTACACCCATTTTACTCCAATGGGTTGAGCTCCTTTAGGAAGTTCGATCAGTTCCCAAGTTTTGTTGCGTTCAATCGCTCCAATCTCCTCATCCATGGTCGTTCTCCACTTCTCATCTTGGACAACTTTCTCAAAACTCAAGTCTTCGGAATTAGCCAAAAGACATACAACATGAACTTCATTTGTAGTGTCGTATATATCCCTGCAGACTTCTCATCTTGAGTCAGTTGTGGCTCTATTTCTTTATCTAAGGACTCAATGGTTGTTATTGTTGAAGGCAAAACAATTTCTCGAACTAGTTTCTTCTTCGTCAGGTTACTCCAAGACCAATGCTTTGTTTCTTCCACATGAACATCTCGACTTACCACCACTTTATTATTAACAGGATCAAACAATTTATAAGCTTTAGATTTTCCATCATACCCGATAAATATGTACTTCTTACTCCGATCGTCTAATTTAGTCCTCGTGCTGACTTGGTACTTGCCCATAAGCCATGCTACCAAACACCTTTAGATGAGAGACACTTGGCTTCATACCACTCCATATCTCCCGAGGCGTCTTCTCTCCTAGCTTTGCATGTGGACATCTATTTTGCAAATAGATCTGCGCACCGCACCGCCTCGCCCAAAACTTCTTTGGCATATTCTTCCCTTTCAACATAGATCGAACCATATCAAGAATGGTTCGGTTCTTTCGTTCCGCTACACCGTTTTGCTGCGGAGAATATGGGGCGATCGGAAATGTTTGATCCCATGTTCCTCACGCATTTGTTGAACTCGGTAGAAGTGAACTCGCCTCCTCCGTCGGATCGGAATGCTTTGATGACTTTGTTTGTTTCTTTCTCCACCATAACTTTGAATTTCTTGAAAGTTTCAAACACTTCCGACTTCTCCTTCGGAAAATAAACCCATGTTTTCCTTGAAAAATCATCAATGAAAGAGACAAAGTATCTCTTACCACTGAAAGATTCTGGAGTTATTGGCCCACACAAATCGGTATGGATCACTCCGAGTTGTCGCTTTGCTCGACACTCGAACTTCTTGGGAAAGAAGTTCTCGCTTGCTTCCCAATCATACATTCTTCACGTAACCTTTTTCCGAATTCCATTTTAGGCAATCCGAGCACCATCTCCTTTTTCACCAGCATAGATCAACCCACCAAAATGAAGATGACCAAACCGCAAATGCCACCTCATGACCTCATCCTCCATATCAAATTGCATACATTTATCTTGAACTGTCTTCGACTCAAGTTTGTACATGCGATTTTTCTTCATTCCCACCGAGCAACAAGCCTCCCTAATTTATCCTTCAGTTGTAGTTCTCGGTCCTTCATCAGAACCGAGTACCCCTTCTCCATTAACTGTCCCATGCTCAATATGTTGCTTTTGAGATCAGGTACGTAGTATACATTTCTGATCTCTCCGATTTGCCCATTTCTCTGTTGATACCATATCGTTCCTTGACCTTTGACAGCTACTTTCGAAGCATCACCGAAAGAAACAGATCCGGACTCCACCTTTGAAAGTATTTTGAATAAGCGTTCATCACCACACATGTGGTTACTAGCGCCGGTGTCTAAGTACCAAACCGAGTTATTAGAACAGTTCGGTTTGATCTCAGTTTCTGAAGTGTTTGTCACCATCGACAATCCTTCATCTTCTTCCTCAGCAAGAAAGTTTGTTGGTTCCTCCTTTTTCTTCTCGGACCTACAATCTTTGGAAATATGACCCAGTTTTCCACAATTATAGCATTTTACTGAGTAATGATCCTTGGCAACATGCCCATTCTTTCCACAATTATAGCATTTTACCGTGTAACAATCCTTGGCAATATGCCCATTCTTCCCACAATTATAGCATTCAATATTGTTTGTGTTTGTCCGGCCACCCCGAGCCTGTCCTTGGCCACGCCAGTTTTGTTGACCGTCTTGCTCATTTCCTCGTCCTCCTTTTCCTCTATCACCACGACCTCTGCCTTTTCCTCGGCCTCTGGAGCTCTGAGCATATAGCACCTTCTCCTCTTTTATTGTCGCCTTTGTCCGGAGTGCCCGTTCAAGGGACTCCCCTTCTTGTTTTTCCTTCTCTCGCTCATGCGCTTCTAGGGACCCAAGCAAGCTCTTCAAGGGTGAGCGTTGACGGATCCTTGGACTCCTCTATTGCGCACACGATGTTCTCGAAATCATCTCGTCAATGATCTTAAGATTTTTTCAACAACTCAGCTTTGATGAAAGACTCTCATAATTTTGATTCAGCCTTGTTCACCACAGCCTCCACCCGAGTAATGAACTCTGATACGCTTTCAGGCTCTTTCATCCTCATGTTTTCAAGCTCGCCCTAAGGGTTTGAAGTCGAACTTGTTTCACCCTTTCATCTCCTTTGTTTGTTTTTTCAAGTGTATCCCATGCTATTTTGGAAGATTTTGCGTTAGCTATCTTCTCAAAGCCAGATTCATCGACGACTCAGTATAGTAGATACAGAGCCGCCTTGTCTTTTGCTCGAACGGCCTTCAATGCGTTCAGCTGGGCATTTGAATACCCATCTATGTTTGCCGGTTCCTCATACCCATTCTCGACCACATCCCAGTTATCTTGGGAGCCGAGAAGAGCCTTCATTTGTACCTTCCAATTGTCATAGTTGGTGCCTTTCGTCAACTTGGGTAGCGGGATGCCATTGGTTAGACCTGCCATTTCCTCTCAAGTGTTTGCTCTCAACTCACACACCTCACAAAGCTTTAAGTTGCTCCTCTCACACCGCAGCGTTCTCTCTTGAGATTTGGTAGGTTCTCTCACACTCACCTCACACACAAGCTCTGATGCCAATTTGTTGGTAACAGGAAAACAAAACAACGCTCTCAATTTTTCTCCTGATACAATTTCAAATGACTTGTTACAATTATTTATGGCCAAAATATTTGCCTTTTCAAATACCAAACGTAAATCATAATACCTATTAAATAGGTTTACAACTCATTAGTTATACCACTCGTAATTAAAACCATTATAGGAATACTAAACGTCTAATTTAAGTTTTACAATACTCAACGACAACAAATTTGAAGCTTTTCCACCATCTTCCTACACCCGGAGCTTACCCTGGAGACCCAAAACAGTATAATATAAGAACCTAAAGAAGAAGAGAAAGCGAGGGAAGAGCCTCAAAAACTTAAAGCAAGGCAAGAATCACCAGAAAACAAAAGGATTCACACACACGACGGAGGCAGAAAGATGAAGTCAATAAATCATGCCATTTTAAAAAACTGCACATGAAAATCTACAATGATGTGAAGAGGATCAAACTTGAGCAGCAAGCCCAAAGGTAAATAAACGTACTTTCAACTTGCATAACTGTAAAATCCAATCACTAGTCAATTTTTTTCAATGCATGCAAATTTATTAAGTTTTGAAGCAGAGGTCACAGAAAAATGAAACAAATCAGCGTTAAAATTACACAAGAACGCAAAGAGGTTCAATTCACATGGAGAATATTACAAATGAGCTATTAGTCATCCATGGAGAACATCCAACTTATTTTGAGCAAAGATATTTGAAGGAACGTTATTACAAGATCAACAAATAAAAGATAAGGGTCAGGAGGGAGAGATCTAAACCTTACCTCCCTACGTAAAGGAACAGCTCAATTCAGTTCTGATAAAAAAAACCCAATGCATCAATTTCTCAGAAAGGTGGATCATATCAAGAACATTTGAATTAAGTTTCAAGTACAAGATGCTCTTGCAATCTTGAGAAGTTCATCAGCACAACCTTCTACAAATAGCTTTGGAATTGCAGCTAATAAATCAGCCAATAGATAGCCGGACTGATCATGTGTCATATATGAAAATCATAATCAGGAAAACAACTGTCACATTTACATTAGTTACCAATTTTTCCCTGAAATACTCGCATGGACAGCTGCATGAACAGCTGGATGAAGCCCAGTAAACAACTTGAACAGCATCTTGCTGAAGAACTGAACCTGCAAAACACAAGTACCCAAATAAACTGCAGGGGAGGGGGTTAAACGGAGACTAATTAGGCCGGTCCTTTCAGTAAATGGAAGCTGATTTTATTAGAAATATTAAATGTATGTACAAAGCCTTTTCTCTGATTTGTAAGAGCTACAACCAGGGCAGTGTTTGCTACCATATAATCACTAGGAATGAATACTACTAACTTGTACCTAGAACAAAAAGATCTTTACAGTGAAAGTCGTGAACTTCAACATGGGGAAAATCCAAAACAGCTGGATATGTCATTAAAAACAACTTGGAGAAGGAAGTCTACCAAAGAACATATATATATATATATATATATATAACCTAATTGAGGACAGGATTAGCCATAAAACCATCCTATGTAACTAGTCAATTCTTATAGGTACTTTGTTTCCTTTGCCATCGGTATAATGAACAGTACTATACAAAGAAAGCAGTTTCAAACCATCATATTCAAGTCTGAAAGGTCATCCATGGGAATTTCAAGCCCCATAAAATCATGATCTTGCAATCCATCATCATCAATATTCAACCATGAACCAATATCTTGACCTTGGTCATCGATATCGTCAGGAACACCAAGCACATCCATTCCAGGTAGTTGAAGGTTCGACAAATCAATAGGCTCATGGTCATCGTATTCACCCATGCCAAACTCATCTTTCTCCTTGCTGTTGCTGTTATTAGACATATCATTAGACTTTGATTTTGGTTGTTCTGATAGCTTGCCTAGGAGGCCATTTACCGAAACAGAATGCTTAGTTGCTTTCTGCTTAGGCTTTGTTTTGAGTTTCCTTTCTCCCTTAGCACTAGATAATGCTGGCCTACCAACTTTAGTAGTACCATTTCTGGATGGAACTTCTCTGTTCTGCCCTTTTCCATCTCTGTCTCTCTCACTCCTCTTCCTTTTTGTACTATTTGATAGAGAACTTCCAATGGTACTGCCAACATCATCAAGGGACAATTCCCTTTTCTTCACCCTGTTTGACCAATGATCTTCCTTCCCACTAGTTTGTTCAGAGGAACCATTTACAACAGGAGGAATGTCTGATGAATTGAGATCATGATCTTTCATATTCTGACTAAATTGTGAAGGGTTCTGCTGTGAACTCATGGAACCTGCAGATAAATAACATGAATTGAATATCAAATTTCAGGCAGTAATCAGGAGCAAAAGAGGGGGAAATCGGAAACAAGTCCATTTAGCCAGACTCTTTTGGTTCGACGGTCCATGAGGGACAAGGCTGGCCCACAAGCTAATGGACAGTTTCGTATAATAATATTCTTTTATTTTTAAAAAACCCCTAAACATAAACTTCCTTGGTCAATCTCCTTCCTCACGGTTCCAAGCATCTTTCTTCTTTCTCTTTCACTTTGCTATTGTAACACAAAACAACACAAAAGCACTCACTCCTTCCCTATATAGAGCCTCTCGAGCACCTCCGTTGATGCCACCTTGTATGTCTCTTCCTATGATTTCTCATGCATCTACGAGCACTTCCAAATGTTTCCCCGCACCTCTTACACCGCCTTTGCACACCTCTTCCTGCACCTCCAAGCACCTTCTTTACAAGTATTTTCATTTTTGTTATTTTGTCTTTTGATTGAATTCTCAATTTTTTTATTTATCCCTACATCACTTGTTGTATAAATTAAGGAAACTCCATTTCATATCACAAAAACTACTTCAATTAGTAACCCATCTATTAATAATCACAGCTCTGTTTTTCTAATAATAGTGAGAGATAATGTTGAACAAAAAGGGGGAGAGTCTAAGAAAACAAAGACTAACACTTAGGTGTGTAATTATTTTGAAACAATTGGTTTAATTGAAGGTATGGAAAAATGTAAATGTAAGAGTTGGGAGAAATTGTATATATGTAAAAGAATTTCATGATGCACTTTTTTTTTGGACAAAATCTTAATTTTTTGTATAGAGGTTGTGATTTTTTTTTAATTGTTAATTAGGCCAAAAAAAGACTCGTTGGCCTAAAAAGAACAACATTAGGCAAAAAATTATGACAAATTTTAAACTAATAGGTTAGGTTCGGTCATTAAAAAAATTTTAGTTAGTCCAAAGATGTCAAGTTAGATTGGAGTGGATAGTCCATAGAGTCAGGCTATGTTACACTGGGTCGTCCATTTTAACAGCCCAAACTTAATCATCTGGCCCTCCTCCCCAAATACCCTGAATCCTGTAATCAATAAAATATTGACAACTAAACCAATATTTACACCTCTCTTAGTTGCCATTACTTCTTGCCTAGCAGGTAGTACTTTTTGCTTTAGTTGCAGTATTTTATTAGAGATAATTGGAGACAAAGGACTCCAGTCCACAAGAAGATGCCATATAAGGTTAAAGCCATCGGAGACATTTAGCTAAAATACTCATACAGAACAAGGCTAAGATAGAAAAAATATATTAGAACATTTAGTAAAGAAGGAAATGACGATGATACCATTTCTTGCGTCCAGAGAAAAGGAAGAAGCATAAGGTTTTGCAGATTCAGCTTCCATGCCATCTAACTGCTGAATAATACTTAGCTGGGAAGAAGCAGCGAGAAACATATCCTTATACAAAGGCTCATTGAAGCAGCTCTTGCCTGTGTCTTCAAATTGTTGGCATCGTTCCAATGTTCGTTTAACAAATCCCAATGCAGCTTGCTTGGCGATTTTGTTGCTTGCATTTTTCCCACCTGATGGGCTAGGACCCCAACAAGCCTGCCAATCAATTATTGTCAATTCAATCAACCACACAATCTATTTATAAAATAGAGAATACTTCCAATATGATAGTATCATCTATTATTACGTAATGGATTGTTCAACTTTTATTCCTAGCCAATTTAAAGTACTTCATAAAAGATAAGAAGAAAGGGCATGGAGTTTGGTTTATCTGATTAAAAGAAAACACTAAAAATAAAATAGGTAACAGGTGTCACGAGTCTAAATTAAAAAGGCAGAGTACGACATGGGTGAGAGTTGCCATTTCCAGTTGTATGGTAGGTTTTTATGCTGTTGTTATCTCAACACCCAATCCAAGTCTTTATTAAGACATTAAAATCACAAACAATTATGTGTATAATGATACATTCTAGCACCAGCATTTAAGGCTATACACACTTTACTACACAATAGAACAAGGCCCTATAATCTTGTTGATGTGTCTCTTTTCTACTTCCTCCATTCTGATACCTGAATAATCAGAGTTATAGACCATGTCCTGTGAGAAATCAAATAGTATTTTAGGAAAGAATAAATAAGGAAATTTGTATATTTCCTTGTAATCTGTACAGATTTGAATAATTAGGAACAATCCCATAAATCAAGGGATCCTAGCATAAAATAGAGTTATTATATTTTTTAAAATAGTTTAGGTCTCTTGTATATATCTTATATCATCTCTTTGTATTGAAATAATAAAATAAATCATATTTCAATTAATCTATTTTTCCAGATGGTATCAGAGCCAAAGCCTAACAACATTTTTCGGGTTATTGTTATGGGCCAAAAGTTGCCCTTTAGTTGGGTCAAAAGTACCATTTGCTTGGTCCGGCAGACTTCGTTGGAGGGGGTGTGTTGAAAGTCCCACATCGCCTACCTCATGTCATTTGGTATGGTTTAAATACATGTTAGACTACTCCACATATTGCCAATTGGTTTTATGTTGGAACCTTAACATGGTATCAGAGCTTCCGATCTAGGAAGCTCTGTCTGCGCTCGATAAACCCTAAGACGGCAGCATGCATTGCTGCTGCATATTTTGTAACCCTAAGACGGCAGCCTGCATTGCTGCTGCATTTTTCTTAACCCTAAGACGGCAGCCTACATTGTTGCTGCATTTTTCTTAATCCTAAGACGACAGCCTGCATTGCTGCTGCATTTTTCATAATCCTAAGACGACGGCCTGCATTGTTGTTGCATCGCACCTTTTGCTATAATGTCAAGGGAAGAGGAGATAGAAAGGGTGAAAACCATTCTTAGTAAGCTGGAAAAACCTACAGGTATGTGTTCTTTGGCATACTCAGGTAAGTTTCCACCTTCTTTTGGATTAAATGTCTCAGATACGCCTTTTAACCATTATTGGATATTGGACTCTGGAGCCACAGATCACATGACACCATTAGCCAAACACTTCTCCACATATTCCCCATGTCCCAAGCAACAAGAAAATTGCCACAGCGAGATGAAACCCTTATAACTGCAGCTGGTCAAGGAAATATCCAAATCAATCCTTTAATAACCTTAAAAGACGTTCTCCATGTCCCAAAGTTGTCCACGAACCTAGTGTCTATACAAAAACTTATAAAGGATTTGTCATGTAAAGTTGTTTTTTCCAATGATCATTGTGTATTTCGGGATAAGGATTCGGGGAGGATGATTGGACATGCTAGAGAATGGAATGACCTTTATTATCTCGAAGATCCAAGTCTGCCCAAGAAGAATAGAATCTCTCACTCCTTCATATCTGAATCCTTGATGACCAACAGAGAAAAAATCATGCTTTATCATTGTCGGTTGGGACATCCCTCTTTTGGAGTGATCAAAATTATATTTCCCTCTCTGTTTACCAAGTTAGATGTTGAGAGTCTTCATTGTGAGGTGTGTGAACTTGCTAAGCACAAACGTATATCTTTTCCAATAAGTAATAGAATTAGCAATTTCCCTTTTTATCTTGTTCATACCGATGTATGGGGACCTTCTAATATTCCAAATGTGTCTCGGTACTCGATGGTTTGTCACCTTTATAGATGACTCGTACAAGGGTCACTTGGGTTTTCCTACTTAAACAAAAATCGAAGTCGGTCTCGTCTTCCTAAACTTCCACTCCATGATAAAAAATCAGTTTGGTGTTAATATTAAGAGGCTTAGGTCAGATAATGCCAAAGATTACTTCAATCATGTCCTTAATTCTTTTTGTCAAAAAGAAGGTATAATTCATGAGTCCTCTTGTGTCAAAACACCACAACAGAATGGGGTCGCAGAGAGGAAAAATGGACATCTATTAAATCGGACTCGGGCATTGTTGTTCCAAAAAAGTGTCCCAAAAATTTCGGGGGAAGTCTGTCCTTACAACGAACATACCTTATCAATAGACTATCCTCTAGAGTCTTACGATCAAAAAGCCCTATGGAAGTTTTGTCGTCTTTCTATCCAAACTTGTCTACTACAAATAATCTTAAACCAAGAGTTTTTGGGTGCATCTCATATGTCCATATTCATAGTACGAGACGTGAGGAAAACTTGATCCTAGAGCCTTAAAGTGTGTCTTTGTTGGTTACTCACCCACTCAAAAAGGGTATAAATGCTACCACCCCCCATCCAAAAAATTCTCTGTGTCTAGGGATGTTACCTTCAATGAACAAGAGGGCTATTTCCATCAACCTTATCTTCAAGGGGAGAGTTTCGAGGAAGATAAGGAAAATAGTGATTCTGGTTTTCCCATTCTTCCGGACTTGACATTTGAACCTAAACGAAATCATATTGAAAGTAGTAATTCTGGTTTTCCCATTCTTCCAGACTTGATATTTGAACCTAAACAAGATCAAATTGAAGATCAAATTGAAGTTGTAACAAATGAAACAAGTCAAGGAATTGGTCAAGCAAAGGAAGTTGGTCAAGAAAGTGAAATTAATTGTGAAGCTGATCAAGAAGATGTTGAAACTGGGAAATTTGGTAAGAAGTCTGGTGTACTCAAGGAAGACTAAGGCCATTCCAGGATCAAGCCATGTTCAAGAATCCAACTCGACTCCACAAAAAGAGGTAACAATTTTTTCTCCAGTCGTGCAGGGTTGAAATTGAAACCCAAAATGATCCCGACCTCCCAATTGCCATTAGAAAAGGAACAAGAAAATGCACCAAACAGACCACTCTACCCTCTCTCAAATTACCTGTCCTTTAAAAATTTCTCTCCTACCCATAAAACCTTCCTAGTAAACCTAAACACTCGTACTTCTACCTAATACCCTATTTGAGGCATTGTCTGACGTAAAATGGAGGCAAGCCATGGATGAAGAGATGGAGGCATTGGAGAAAAACAACACTTGGGAGTTAGTCACCTTACCAATAGGAAAGAGGCCAGTTGGATGTAAATGGGTCTATACAGTGAAATACAAGGCCGATGGATCAATTGAGAGATATAAGGCAAGACTAGTTGCCAAAGGGTTCACCCAAACCTATGGAGTTGATTATTTGGAGACCTTTGCTCCGGTTGCCAAAATGAACACAGTTAGGGTGATATTGTCCCTTGCTGCCAATTATGGTTGGAACTTGGAACAATTTGATGTTAAGAATGCTTTCCTACATGGAGACCTTGAAGAAGAAATCTATATCGAGATACCTCCGGGATATGGTAAAGATGTTGCTACCAACACTCGTTTGCAAGTTGAAAAAGGCATTATATGGGTTAAAACAGTCCCCGTGCATGGTTTGGCAGGTTTACTAAAGTTATGACAAGTCCGGGTTACAAACAAAGCCAAGGGGACCATACTTTGTTTTTTAAACATTCCAAGTCGGGGGAGTAACAATATTATTGGTGTATGTGGATGACATAATATTAACTGGAGATAATAAAGAAGAGCAACAATTATTGAGTCAATGCTTAGGCAAGGAATTTGAGATCAAGACTTTGGGAAAACTAAAATATTTTTTGGGAATTGAAGTTGCCCACTCCGAGAAAGGGATATTTATATCTCAGCAGAAATACATCACTGATTTGCTCAAGGAAACTGGCAAGGCAGCTTGCAAACCTGCTAGTACCCCATTAGAACCAAACCTAAAGCTTGGAAATGCGAAGAAGATGTTGTCTGTTGAAAAAGATATGTACCAAAGATTAGTGGGCAGACTTATATATTTGTCACATACCAGTGCCGGATATTGCCTATGCAAGTGAGTTTAATTAACCAATTTATGCATAGCCCAAAGAAGACCCATTTACAAGCTGCCCACGGAATTTTACAGGTACCTTAAAGGAACTCCAGGAAAAGGGATTCTATTCAAAAGGAATGGTAATGTGAAACTTGAAGCCTATACCGATGCCGATTATGCAGGGTCAATTGTGGATAGGAGGTCAACTACGAGGATATTGCACCTTTCTTGGAGGAAATCTTGTGACTTGGAGAAGCAAAAGCGAGGTGTAGTGGCTCTGGTCCAGTCGTCGAGCGGAATTCCGAGCCATGACACAAGGTATATGTGAGTTGCTATGGCTTAAAATCATCTTAGAAGACTTGAGGATAAAGTGGGAAGAACCTATGAAGCTCTATTGTGATAATAAGTCAGCAATCGGTGTAGCCCACAACCCAAGGTGCAGCATGATAGAACAAAGCATATTGAAGTAGACAGACACTTCATCAAAGAAAAGCTTGATAGTGGCTTGATATGCACTCCATATGTGTCCTCTCAAGACCAAATTGCGGACATTCTTACCAAGGGACTGGGCTGCCATAATTTTGAGAAGATTGTATCCAAGTCGGGAATGGAAAACATCTATTCACCAGACTTGAGGGGGAGTGTGAGAAATCAAATAGTATTTTAGGAAAGAATAAATAAGAAAATTTGTATATTTCCTTGTAATCTGCATGCATTTGAATAATTAGGAACAATCCCATAAATCAAGGGATCCTAGCATAAAATAGAGTTATTATATTTCCTAAAATAGTTTAGGTCTCTTGTATATATCTTATATCATCTCTTTGTATTGAAATAATAAAATAAATCATATTTCAGCTTAATCTATTTTTCCGGATGTCCCAACTCTATAAATACTATCCATGATCCCCATCTTTTCAACTATTGTAACACAAACTCTTGGTCTTGGAGATATTTGACTAGACTGCAAAAATTTTATTTGATAACTATAAAATTGATTAATATATATATATATATATATATATATATATATATATATATATATATATATATATATATATATTAAAGTGATATTGAACAATAAGGTTACCATGTATTTCTCATAAGCCATCATGAGGAGTTTGTCAAGAGCGTTTTGTTCAAAATCCCTGATAATCAAGATATTGTATTTCCATTCAGAGCAATGAGCCACAAAAGTTAAAATTAAGTAATAATCACGGAATAAATATAGACATTTACTTTTCTTGAACTTCTTTTGTCACTGAAGCAGATTTTAATAAACCGTCCAGCAGGCAGTTCCTCTTGGACATCTACAATATATATAAAATAAATCAAAAAGTGGATTAATGTAATATAAAAAATGACTTTATTAGGTTCTATATAATATACATAAATCAGTTATCTGGACAGTATATTTACACAATTCTTGGAAAGCAACATGTAGATTATCTGAAAAGTTACATGAAAGATAAATGAACAATGGGGAAAGAGCATTTAGATGATTTGCAATTAGAACATTATAGCTCGGTTTCAGCATCAGTTAGTACCTGTCCTTGGTGATGCTCTTCTAACCTATTGATATCCTCACAAATTCCTTCATCATTTGCTTGCAACATTTCAGGCTTGAAAAATAAAATTAAAAACAATAAGTATCACACTAATCTACAGCAGATTTAACAATAACAGACAACATCTTGAAATAAATTATCTAGGTGTGTGTATGAGTAGACTGCTGAAAGAACTAGAGAATAAACTAGATCAAAATGGTTTAATCAAATCTGATATTGATCTGTCATACTTCCCCTATATCCAGATTTCATGAAAACCAGCACAGATAATCAGGAAAGTTGGCTAACCACTGATTCTGGGGAAATTCCAATACTTTGAAGCTCCAAGAGAAGCTTTTCATTCATACTCAAGGTGGCATATTGCAACTCTGAACAGCTCAAGCTAGGCATGTTCTGCCTTGAATTTAACCCAGTTGATGAGATATCAACTTTATCACTTTCAATCTCATCATGTCCCACCGTCTTAGTTATCCTATAACCATTGTAAGCAGAATGACAACCAAGATAAGAATTAGATCGAGAATGGTGATCCAAACTACTCAAATCCAACTCTCCATCAGCCTCAGATTCAGTATCACATGCTTCAAACTTTATATCTTCACTTTCACTGCTACACTCCTCTGAAATTAAAGCACATATTAGCCTTTGACAGAGGGGAATTCCATTAGACTCTCCTTTAGCTAGTTGTAACTGTTCTGCTACAATTCCAGCACCCATTTGATCGCAAGGTTCAAAATCTCTTCCACAGCCCATTAACCCAAAACCATTAGCAACAGCTTCACAATCATCTATATATGAAGGAACTGGAGTTGGCATCAATCCACTTGATTCAAGATTTATCTGAAAGATGAATGAATTATTATAGAAATTTACATAATTTATTCCCATGATAGTTATGTCAAAGAAGTTCAGATAAATAAAGTCATGCTTTAATCACCATTATTAATAAAACTATAATTTACACAAGATTGGTTGGGATTTTTTAATATATACTGAACCATGAGTGCATGTGAGCATGTAAGGAATAAACATAACAGATAATATAATGGCCATGTTTCCATACAGAATCAGGACAATATAAACATTTATATTAAAAATAATAAATTCTAACTACAGATTAATCAAAGGATGCTATACTATCATTGACACCACCACAAATCTGAAGCATCTTTCTTATATATGAAAGCTCCATTATAGAAGGGTGACAAGAATGCACTCTCCCTCACCAGTAGGGGAAAAAAATAGTACCTTCTGTCTCCAGTAAGCAATATCCTCCTCACTTATCAAACCAAAAAAAAGCTCCATCTGCCTCCAGAATTGGCTAGAAAAAGCACGAGCTGCAGTAATATGAAAATACAGAACCACTCCATCAGAGAATAAATATTTAGGCTACAAAACTAGAAAAATTTAGTGAGATTCTTACCAGAGTTGGTAATACCCTTTACAGCAGCCAATAATTCTTCATGTCCATCTTCCGACCCAACTAATACAATGAACCCAAAATTGATTAACAATATACTAGTATTATAAATATGAAAAAGTGAGATCATTATTCTTTTCTATAATCTGAAACTAGTACCAAGAAAATCTGCTGATGTGCTAATTGCAGTATGTTTCTGACGCGCATATGCCTTACGATCAGACAGTTTCCTGGTTGGTGGACGGCCTGCCCTGCTGCATGGAACTCAGAAACATTAGGTTTAATAAGCAAATTTTCAAACCTATGCAATAGAAGAAACATTTTAACCTTTCACTCTTCTCATGTCCTAGTCTCGAACTTCTAAGTTGCTTTACAGTTCCTATATTTCCAAGCTTCTCAGATGCCATTGGCGTTGGTGACCTGGCAGCAGGAACATTGCGCCCTGTCCTACCTTGCCTCCTAACACCATCTCCATGTTCTTCCCCAGATACAATCTTATTTTTTCTTGAGGAAAGGACCAAGTTAGAAACCTTTTGAATATTTTGTCCAGCTTTCTGATCTATCTCCTCTGGTTTCCTGCCCTTCTCTTTTGGTTTAATCTCAGCCACCCCTGACTCTTCACTTTCAGATAACACAGCTGAAGTTAAAGAATCACCTTTTAATTTAATTTGCTGAGGAGAATTACCAACCAAACGTCTAACAAATCCCAAGCCAAGATCATTACCAGTCACATCAGACACAGAATCCAAAGCAGGGGAATCATCATTACTGGACACAGTGGGCACAAAATTTGTTCTTCTAGCAGTACGAGAGCTCTTCTGTGGCCTCTGCCAGTGGACAACAGGAGGGGAAGATGATCGTACCGATGCCACACGCTTACGATTGTTAGTTCCAACACAGGCAGGGGGCTTGGTCATACAATGTGAGGGCTCCCAATCATTCGGAACAGCTGCTCTATGACCACCTGGTGATGACTTTGGACCAACTCCTGAACCAGATCGTCGTGCCCGAATAGGTGTATTCATTTTTGCACTTGAATTAGGGCTTGCTGAATTAAATTCATCACGAACAGTTGCCCTTGGTATAGAACAATTATGGATATTAGAAATTGGATTTGAATCTAATTCAACCCTACAAAAACAACTTCCCCATTTATCTACTATAAATTGATCATAACTCTAATCGATATGAGATTTTAAGCACACCCTCTCCCGCTAAGAATTAGACATCTCAAGCATGAGATTAGATATTTCAGGGTGGACCGATAGCACCCAATAATAGGTCGAACAATAACCCCCCAACAAACATCACTAGGATATATTAGTTATAGATTACATTTTTATGAAGATAGAAATTTCATTAACTCATTTAGAAAATTACAAAGGGAAAGCAGGATAAGAAATCATCCTCAAAGAGAAGAAAAAGTAAACAACTAATAATAAACATCAATATAATAAATTTACTCCATCCTTCATCATATTTGTAAGGGATGTCCCTTTACAAAGACCATGTGCTTGACATCATATGCAATTCAAATACATAACCTTAACATAAGACAGTTTCTTATTTCTAAACACCTAATCAATTGTCAATTATAGGATACATATGATGACAAAGAAAAGATCTTTGAATACTAACCATAATACATTAGGATCCATAATAGAAACAGATCAAATAAACAAACCATTGAAACAAAGAAATCAAGGAGAGAGCAACATGGAGGGAGAAAAAGGTTTTCAATGATAAGAGATCTTTTTTTATATAAGGAAATAAATTGTTATAAAAATTGTCTCTGCTGTTTGCTTACTTGTTAACAGCTCTGAAATTCACCCTTTCCTTGTCTGAATTAACAGGACGATCACGCCTATCACTAATAGGAGAATTATTTTCTAGGTCACTTCTTGGGGTAGAGACACGTATGCCCAACCCTGTTTGTTGAGAAACACCATCCGATTTTCCAGCTCCAACAGTTCCATTAGAGACCCCCAACCTAAACAAAAGATGCATGAAGGTATTATATGATATACTCTATATTGAAGAAAAATAATCAACAGGACTTGAAAACAAAAAAAATAACATCTTGTTACATTATATCTTCCATCTATCCTTGAAATCAGAGAAAATTAGCACAATTCCCCACAACTGTATTCACTTGTTACACCAACTACGGATGGGTTTGAAGCCTTTCACCATTTAACACAATATGTAGAGAAACCCCAATCCCTCACTCATTTAACACAATATCTAGGGAAGGCCCATTGACTCTCTCTTTAATTTTCTTTTATTTTCATCTTGGTGGTAAATAGAAAGCAAAGATTCAATAAATTACCATTTTATAAGACAAGGGAGTTATATCTATCATACACAAAATATGCAATTCTTATTATGTCAGTTCGAGTACTTATTATCTAGCATTAGATGCTTAGAACGCCAGTAATAAATTTCTATGTAATAATGATACAAGACAAACAATTTAAAATTTAATTTGCAAAAATACAATATGATAAAGCATTATTGTGAATTTTTACAGTGAATATAAAGCACAAACTTAAAGCAATAATTGTCCATATAAACTGTTCCACTAAATAATCTGCAAGTGGACATTGGATAAATAACACATAAAGATCACAGATATTATGGGTAATTGTATTTGATTAGTTATGGATAGTTTTATATCAAGTAGTATATTCACTATAAGACAATACTTGAACCTGCCCCACAATTATTTAACCATGAAAACTAAGCTTTACCTTCAAGACTTAAGTTCCAAAGCAAATGAAATGGTAAATGATCAATTTGGTTCTTGAATGTATGAGGTGCTGTAAATTTAGTCCTTAAAAGAACAAAATATCTTAGTTAGTCCCGAATGTATAAAAAATACAAATTGGTTCCTAAACATTACAGCTTAATGACAAAATGATCCCTGACTTTTTTGTCAAATTGGTCCTTAAAATTACATGTTAATGATAAAATGGTCCTATAAAACTTAATAATTCTGAGATTTTTTACAGATTTAGGGACAAAATCATAATTTTTGTCCTTTCGAGGACTAAATTAACAGTATCTCACACATTGAAGGACCAACTCGTTCATTTACCACAAATGAAAATCTTCATTTGGAATGAAACAAAGGTATCATCACACAAACAGCCAGGGACTAGTCCCTTCAAGCCATAAAGATTACCAAAATGGGTTTTGTTACACCCAACAAAATAATTTCTATACCCATGTCCAAGAATGAAAATTGGCCAGCATGTTTAAGGGATCCAACTATTTTTCAATTGTGACAGTCTTGTTTTGCTAGTAGATAAATAAATAAATTTACAGTTAAGTTATTATTTTGATATCTATACCTAACTGTTTTTCATTTAGTCCCTACTTGAAAAAATCCACATTTGGTCCCTGCCTAAAACAGTGTCAGATTTGGTCCAAATACTTGACAAAGGTTTAGTCCCTACATGAAAAAAACTTCCACATCATTATGGTCCACAGATGAAGAAAAGGATAAACTCCATATTTTAGTGACTACATAAGAAACAAAAATTCTTGGCATTAACTTTGGGAAACTAGTATAGAATTGTAAACATCATTAGTAGGAATCAATTTGTAGAGCTCCATAGGGACTAAAATGAAAAATATATTGGGTATAAAAACCATACTTTTAATTTGACAAAAATCATCCCTACATGAACTAAAATCTAGACATGGATAATGGGCAGAAAATTTACTGATACATAAATATGTAAAGGAAAAATGTAACAAGTAGATATTCCCCTTGAACGCATCTTGCTACTTCCCTAAATCTTCAAACCTTTTACTGATTTGGTTTTAATTTTTCAGATTTAAAAACAGGAATTCACATATTTATCATTTTACTTGCTTCTAGTTAAAATCTGTATTATTCAATGAATGATTTTACAGCATATGTACCCAGACATGTTCAAGATGTTATAAAAAAGATAAACAAATCTTATCCTGACCCTACATTTTTGGATCTAGTAATTTCTCCTATCAAAGGCTAATAGTAAGGAAACTGAATATCTGATTGCAACCAACACTAGTAAATTCTTTTCAGGGATGCGAGCATTTAGAAGCTAACTATGTCTAAAATAGTAAAAATGCATACAAATACATTCATACCTGAAAGAATGAGAATCATTACTCAATTTTGCACGAGTATCAGTGGCTAGTCTTTGTTGCATTCCGTGTTTAGTTTCCTGGAAAAGGTTAACAGGTTTTGTCAATGCTGTATTTGGAGACCCATCTGGTTTGATGCCAGAACGCTTCTTCTTCATCTTTGACTTTTCCCACCCATCACCTCCAACAGGTAAAGTTCGTTCCTCGCCCTGATTTGAACTACTATTGACAATCCGTAACATTTCTTTATCTCTATCAGTCCCAGATGGCCTGACAAGAGAATTAGTCCGTATATCCATCTAGAATATATCAAACCCGAGTCAGTTTTGCTCAACAGGTTTTAAAGCAAGGCAAGGTAATCTATCTGAAATCAGGCTCTCCACCATAAAGAGAAGTAAAAAAAAGATGCAAAGCCACAACCACACACCATACTCATATGTCTTATTAGACCCAACAAAAAGCAAAGTAAAACAGAATACTCTGTAATTTGACAATTTCATATAGAAGTAATGAGACAGACACACATAAAGAACCCAGAGTTCATGAAATACATAAATTAATATACACACACATACTCATGGGTGGGGATCAAGTTACTCCATCTTAACTCTTTTGTATATATTAAATTTCTATAAACAAACAATAAAATAAAAATTTCATATTAAATAGATCAAGTGCATAATTTTTATAAAATTTTAAAGGTGCTTAATAATTTATCAACTAAATGAAATTTAACATGTAATTCACTTTTTTAAATATAAGAAAATGTCATCTGATTTATCAAAAAATTCATATGCATAATTGTTGAGAAAAACATCAAAATATTTGACGGTTAGATTAATAAAATTTAGTATACAGTTTCTTAACCCGGTAACTTTAAGAGTAGCTCCTTGAGTAACTTGATCCCTACACTCTATGTATATGTTTAAAATAATTCATAATAGATTTCTATCTACACATTAGGTGTGGAATCTCTAAGAACTGAGGGAAAATGTTATAGTAGGAAACTTTTGTCAAAGCAAATTTGACACAGGACTCCATGTCACACTAAGATATAGAAAACACTTTGAATGTTACAACTTAGGGATGTAAATATAGTTAATAGCTACTTAAAAACACGATATATTTACATGAGAACAGCACAAAACTGAATAAGTTATATTGGGAGGTGTAAAAAAATAATGGAATATTGTATTAACAAACAACAAAGAAAACAAACACACATACCCTTACATCAACCAGAGAAGTTCGAGTGCGCTTGTTAGGAACATTTTTGGTTCTTTCTTCCAACTTCAGCTGGTCATGTTCAAAACCACCTGTGACTGCATGACCTTGAGCTCCAACCTTGCCTGTGCTTGTTCCCAAGACTGATCGATCACATATCATAAAACTAGAACGTTCATTAGAAAATGTTTCAGCTCGAGACCTTTTCTTTGAAGTTATATTTTGGAAATCTTTGTTGAATCTAGACAGGGCTTCGCTAAACATTTTAGCACGATCCCTGTTGAAGATTTCAAAGTTATTAAACTTCTCTAACTTCAATGCCACTAGTAAAACATGCAGGGAATGAAATAACTACCTTGCCCTCCTAAAACTTGCATGTAAACTATCCCTAAGCCGTTTGATATCTTCTGGTGCTAGGGATGATAGTTGCTTGCCTTTGGCAGAACTAGATGGAGATTCATCAGAAGAAATTCCAAGAGCAGCACTGACAAGTCGTTTATAATCTGTTTGACGATTAGACTTATGCTCTGGAGCCACCAACTTTAGATTAAAACGCACACAATTGAAGAAGCTCACCACATCCCCTTGTGTCGCAGCAGAACTGCTTCTTGACATGCTTGGAAGAGAAGACAGAATTGGATTTTCCATGCTTTCACGGAAGCTACCTGATCTATCTAATGAAGGAGCTATGTGGGATCCACGTTGCCCAGAGTACAATTGTCTATCTGGGCTGCTAGAAGATATATCAAACTTGGTGGATGTTGCCATAGTACTAATTCCCACACATCTATTGACCCAAATACACAGAACAGAGACTGGTGCATGACAAAGTCGTAGCACTATACCGAGTAAAGCACATAAAGGGCAAATCTATATTACAAGGGAAACAATTGAAGAATGTACCTGAAAGGATCAAAACAAAAACAAAAAAAATCAGACTTTATATGCTATGATATAGAAATATTCATGTGCACAGTAAAAGACTTGGGATAGCAAGTCATAATTCATGCTCAAAAACTCCCTTCAATTGTATGATGAACACGAAGTTTTGAAAAAATTCATCAAAGGCCAAGGGATTTGTAGCACAGCGCAATAGAGTTTGTCTGAATGACTCCATTATCTATCTGTATTCTAGTCCCAACTCATCTACATCAAACTAAAATCTAAAAAGGAATAACATATTACATTTGGCATGTAAATTAGTTATTTACATATACGAATAAAACAAGTGTACAAAAATCTCCGAATGCATAGAAAATAAACTACACCAGAACCAGCATTCTTATAAAAACTACTTAAAATATACACTCACAAAAACACCAAAGAAAAAAGCTTCATGATCAAGTATTGTCCTTAGCATCATTTAACCTAAATTGTCGTGCAACAAATGGATAAAATTACATTATATATAGGACCTTGTCTTCGTTCTTATATCAAAAACTTATTAGCACTCTGTACATTTTCAAACTTGATCTACAGGAAAAAGAGTGAAAATCTCTTTTTAATAAAATATAACTGCCATTACTACTATCATTAGATAATAACTACTACCATTAGACACCTTATTGATAAAATCTTCCCACTTTATCAACTCTCTGTACTGTATCATCATAATATTTAATATATTTATCTTTAGTCTTAACAACAACTAATACCATTAGACAGTTTATTGATATAATGTAGATATTTTTTAAATGACAGATTATTGACAGAAGAAAACTCGATGTTATGCCTCCGTAGAAAAATATGGAATTGACCACATGTAAGAAACCTTCCATTTCTACCTGAGTTAATAATGTGCACTACTGACAAGTTCATCTCAACTTTAAAGCAAGTCAAATTGATTATAACCTTGGATCAAATTGCTATACAAAACACAAACAAACTTGTCATATGCAAATCAATTTATTTTACTTTACCAAGCTTAATTAATACATAGAGAAATGTAATTTAATAGACATAAAGGCTCAATGTCACAACAAGATGAATCTACATGATTATAAATTATGACACATGCGATGAAGATATTGTCAACAACACTCTATATGCAGACCAATTACTGTAACTTACTGTCTCAACATCAATGACCAACTGCTACAGCTTACATTCTCAACTTCAAACATCAATTACTATGACTAGTTACTTCAAACGGAATATTGGGCCCGAGAACTACAATCCTTTATCAATTTACCATCTTCACACATAAAGAGGTAGTGAATCTACAGACAAGACAACTACTTTTTCTTTCAATTAGAAAAAATCAACAATTTCTAACCGTCATTTTAAAAGTAACCTGATGAAAGACAATTGAGTTTTTGTCCAAGTATTTGTCAGCTAGCGAAATAGATGCTTACCATTGTTTACAAATTCTCCTTCCTACACTAACTCTGGTCTATTTCGACTCCTACATTAACTTCCTCAATTCAATGCCATTATCTGTCCATTTTATAAGGAATGTCCTAACAAAATAAAAAACATCCGCTGAACTCCAAGCATATATTTCTCATTTAAAATTTTAGTACACAAAATATTCAATTAAAAAGACAAACACAAAATTAGAAATCTATCAACAACATAAGTTCCAGCTACTCCATGCATGCAGATACTCTTTCTCCTCCACTTCCTCAATATCATTTCGTTCGAAAGCTCAATAATAAAAAAAAAAAACAAATCAAAAGTAAAACACGGATAGGAAGCAGCAACAACAACTTGTAGAAACCCTAACGGTTGAATCAATGCAAAAAACGAAAAATCAAAACCACGAACCATCATGTCAACGAGGAAAACCACTGCGAACTCCAAAATCAAAACCCTAGAAGTTTAACAAAATACGAAGTTGAACAGCAAACTGCAGAAACAAAAATTGATACATCGAAATATGCCCCGAATCTTGCAATGGTGCTTGTTATTGGTTACGCGAATAGCAGAGAGAATTGGGAGAAAAATCGAAAGGCGTGTTAGAAATTGATATTGTTGTGAGCTTCAAATCGAAGTTCGTACGAAGAAGCCATGGTGGAGGAGGAAGCACCGGTGTTTTGATCGGCAATGAAATGGACTAAGGAGATTTTACTCTTTTGCCCATGGCCGTGTATTTTATGAAAATGTAGAACCCGCGATTTGGCAGGGGCTTTTTCGTCCGTTCACGTTATATACGGTATGACTTGTATTGAATTACATGTGATTATGCTATCATCAATAATGTACTACAAATACAGCCAATACAATAATATGATAATATAATATAATAGTAATAATTATTATTATTCTTATAATAACTTACTGTGTAGTGTGTACTGTACATAATTAATACATCTGTTGTTATTATTATTAAGAATAACAATACCAGAATTTGTTTCAATTTATTGAAAACCATGTCTCTGTATAATTAATATTAATTATTATTGTTATTGAAAAGGATAGATAGAAATATATATACCAAGGGAATGTCATTGAAATTTATTTTCTTTCCACAACTTAGTTTTAATTCTTTCATCAAAATAAAAGAAGTTTCTTTTGAAGAAGTAGGTGGTATTCATAAATCTCTTTGAAATTATATTTTACAAATTCAAACAAAAATTTACAAATAACTTCTTCATTACAAAAGACGATTTTTCAAATTAAACTATGTTTCAGATTATACTGATGTATACGAAATATAAAAAGAAAAGTATAAAAAATTAGAATGACTCGTCTTAAAAAAATTTGCTTGTTGTATCCTTGACCAAATTAGTGAATATTATACGCATTCTTAAACAATAAAAATGCTTCACCATTTAAGTATTCTGAGTATCTCAGGGGATCAAAACATTTTCACATACGTCTCTTATGTTTTCAAACTAAAAAGTCAATGACACGGTGAATGAAAAAAAAAAAAGAAAAAGATATATATATATATATATATATATATATATATATAGTTGAAAATTAAAAACCTTTACTAAAAGTTGTTAGTCAATTTATTCGAAGAATATTAATGATCACAAATTCAAAAAATAATTTGTGCTAATAACATAATTATTAAAGAAAAAAATAATACTATCTTTAAGGTTTATCAGGTAAATTTAAAATGAAGAAAAAAATGCGAGTTAGTATGTATAAAGTTTATTTCTATTTTTATAAAATGCATTACTATCAAGATAGTTTTATATATTATTCATTTTAAAGTACTAGTAGCATATTTCTAACTCTGGTCATGTTTGGAAGGTGGTTCTTCTTTAGGATAAATGAATATTAAATCATACATTTAATGTGAATATACGTTACTTTTGATCCTTATGAAAAAATTACTATTTTAAAATTTCAACACCAAGTACTCATATCTTCTATTTTATAACTTTTTTATGAGAAGTTTGATGTCCTACCTTTTTGTCTTTAAATTCTACTTGTCGCTTTATTAAAAACAATAAAAAGTCAAAAAATGTTGTATCTACAATATATGCATCCTTAGTTGTGGTCTTGTCAAACACTTCATATTATTCTTGGAGAACTTTACACTAGCAAATATAATAAAGATAGTAACGAAGAGAAATTACATACTTATAATACTTAAATTTGTGAAAATTTATTTATTTATTTATAACCCTTTGTATTAGATCCTTTGCATTGGAAGTTTATGTTGGAAAATTAATAATAATAATAATAATAATAATCTTGATTTTGATTCTAAAGATGAAACATAAACATAATCCTATAATAAACATGTTGTAAACTGAATGCGAAAGCGTACCTGAATTAGCCATAATGATGATATCTTTGTAGAGCACTGTATTGATCTTATGGTCTTTCACCTGAAGAGCACCTGTATTTCCCTCTTGATTTTCTCTCTTGATAGAGATAAAAAGAAAGGAACAAGAATGAAACTTACGTTCTGTCTATGTGCTCCCAGAAAGGGACCACGATCCCTTAAAATAACCAGAATTAGGTTAATTACTTAAGTTTTAGTATTTCCAATTTGGCCCCTCATCAAATTAAAAATTGCTCAATGGTCTCTACACAATTTTGTTTTCATGACATATGTCTTTAGCCAAAACTTTAATTTAGTCAGATCACTTTATTATTTGGCTTAATAAATAATGACCCTAACACATTTAAATTATGTATCATATATATACATGACCCAAATTTTGCCAACAATCTCCCACTGGTCACAAATATATATGTCCTTACAACCTTACAAATGTGTTATACTTTATGAGCTCAAAATTGACATTATATTCCTTTAGCATACTCCAAAAGTCATGTCCATTAATCATATCAGGATATAGAACCAAACCAGTTTTTCATTGCATCATCGCAACTAAAACCAACAATGATTACTCATCCTAACATAACCAAATGGCATGGATTCATCATGAAATGTGTAGCATGAAAAATTACGTGAAAGTGATTTGTACACGTTTATTTTCAACTGGTCCAAACTTTAACTTATTGAGATCGATATAATATCCTTAATGTACAAAGTGTAATGAATGAACAAAAAAATCGCATATCTATAGATAACCAAATATGTCCAAAAAACAATGTATACATATATGAAATTAAACATAGAACATAAAATATATGAAAGTGATTAACTCCCATTAAACAACAAATTCCTCAAACTGTAAAACACCCATGTGAGCAAAATGCTTATGAAAGACCTTGGACGGAAGTCTTTTAGTCAGAGGATCTAGTATCATGGAGTTTGTCCTTAAGTGTTCTATGAAAATCTGTCCACTTTGTACTTTTTCCTTAACAATACAGCTGATTTATTGTCACAATATAACTTAAGTGGTCTTTCAATGTCTTTCACAATTTGCAGCCCTGTGATAAAATTTCTTAGTCATATTTCATGATTTGATGCCTCATAGCATGTTACAAATTCTTGACATCCTACAAAATCTGAGTCAGAAAACCTAGCGATCTCCAACTGGTCTGATCTCCTATATGTGAGCATATAATCTTTTGTTCTCTTTAAATATCTTATGACCCTTTTTGCTGCTTTTCAATGGTCTATTCCTAGATTGCTTAAATATCTGTCTAGAACTCCAACTATGTATGCTATGTCTGGACGCGTACATACTTGGACATACATCAAACTCCCTACAGTTGATGCATAGGGAATCTTTTGCATTTCCTCAATTTCCAAATTCCCCTTTGCGCACTAATTGAGACTAAATTTGTCTCCCTTTAAACTTGTGATATACATAATCATCAACAATATTCATCTTGAAGCCAAATGAGTTTCATAACTTCTGGTAATGGGACAAGTTCCCAAACCTTATTGTCTTGCATGGACTTATACTTCTCCTTCATTGCTTCAATCCACTTTTGAGAGTTAGAACCTTGTATAGCTTGACGGAAGTTAACTGGGTCATCTTCCATTATATCATTATTTTCTTCATATTCCTGAAGAAATACCATGTAATCATCCAAAATAGCACTTCTTCTTTCTCCAGTGGATCTCTGCAAAGTTATTAGCTCATGATGCACAAGTTCTTGAGGATCTTGAGTTTGTTCTTCATGAACAACCAAATCATATTGAGTAAGGGGTTCATCAATAATGCCTTGTGGAGGTTCCGAACTTTATCAAAAGTAACTATTTGAATCGGTTCTAGAATTGTTACCGATTCTTCCTCCAAGACAAAGTTCCTGATTTTATTCTTCCCCCAAACTCAATATCCTCAAAGAACGTAACGGTTCCCGTCTCAAAAATTGTATTTAATGTGGGATCATAAAATTTATATCCCCTGGATCTTTCAGCATAACCAATAAAATAACTACTTACTGTTTAGGAATCCAATTTCTTTTCATTTGGCTTATAAGGCCTTGCCTCAGCTGGACATCCCCACACATGAAAATGTTTCAGACTAGGCTGTCGCCCAGTCCAAAGCTCATAAAATGTTTTGGTAGCTGCTTTAGTTGGTACTTTGTTTAGAATATAAGCTGTCATATTTAGTGTCTCTCCCCAAAGTGATTCCAGTAAGGTGGAATGACAAATCATACTCTCTACCATATCTTTAAGAGTGTAACACAACCCCAAACGTCACAATTTGATGTTACCTGAGCACTTGTGCCATAATGCACTTAAGTGAGTATTTTCAATTTTACGTTTAGTACCACATGATTCTGTATTAAGGGTTTCATTATAGGTGGCTACAATATCAAGTAAATACTGATTATCATAAATCAAAAGTGAATCAGTTCCAACAATATCTGAATTAAAAGACAAACTGAACTTATTGTTTCCAAATGAACACAAATAACCTAATTTGTCCAAATAAGAAACTGAAACCAAATTTCGTCTAAATAACGACATAACAAAAGTGTCTTTCAAATTCAAATAAAAAAAACCAATACTTAATAACAATTTAAAATGCCCTATAGCTTCCACCTCTACCGATTTGTCATCTCCAACATAAATCCATCTTTCAGAATCAATTGACTTCCGGTAGTTTAGGCAACCCTTTCTTTTCACGTCAAGCATGATATTTAACACATTTCTTCTTTACGTGTCCAGTCTTATTGCAAAAGAAACATTTGTTTTCTTGAGTTTGTTTCTTTTGTTCTGGACCCTTAGCACTTTCTTTCTCGAGATCCTCTGATCTCTTTCTTTTGCCCTTAGCCTTGGAAGTGCTTGTAAAATGAGCATTTTCTGTCTTGTCTTGCTTTAGTCTTTCCTCTTCTTGTACGCAATGTGAAATGAGCTTATTAAGAGACCATTTATCCTTCTGACAGTTGTAAGATACCTTAAATTGATTAAACGTTGCAAGAAGAGAAATCAACACCAAATGAATGAGCAAGTCTTCTGAGAGTTCAAACTTTAGTGTCTTGAGTTTAAAAACAATATTAGACATGCTCATAATGTACTCCCTGATATTTCCTTTGCCTTGATATTTCATGGAGATCAAGTTCTGAAGAAGAGTACTTGTCTCCGCCTTATCGCTTTTTGCAAAGCGCTGCTCAATTTCAGCAAGGAATTCTTTGACACTTGTGATGTTTTCAGAAACAGTGCCCCTAAACACCTCCGGGA